GATGAGTCTGGGTTTGCTTCCCTCCCCGGCGATTTCTAGAACGCAAACACATTCTGACCGTTCTTTTTTTTAAATAATATGTTTATTATTTTCCAATAAAAATAAAGTAAAAGAGACAGCAATACAAACAATGACATTCATTGTACTGTTGGATGGGATGGCCAGTTTAGAGGACAAAACAAAAGTTAACTCACACATACACAAAATAAAACAAAATCCTATTAGGTGGTATGTGTATAAGAAGACAGCATATAGTCATTACAAGCAGTGTAGTTCAGCCAAAAATAAATATTGAGTGGAATACAGCACAGAGTAGCAGCAGATCGTCAGCCCAGTTATGAAGCGGGACTAGACCATTTATCCAGTATCGGCTGCCATATTTTGTAAAACAATGGACTTCTATTGGAGGTGTTATATCGAATCTTTTCCATATGGATTGCATTCCCTAAATCCTGTAACCACATTTCAAAGGTAGGTACAGTCTCCAATTTCCAAAATTGCAATATGAGCCTTTTGGCCAATAGAGTACAAAGAGAGACAGCTTTCCCCTCCTGGTTATTCCCATCAACTGTACCAAACAGAGCGATCAATGGGTCTGGGGCTAGAACTCTATCAAAGGCCTTAGATAAGTAATCAAAGATGAGAGCCCAGTAAGCCTGTAATTTAGGGCATGTCCAGAATAAGTGGGACAACGTCCCCTCCTCCTGCTTGCACCTCTCACACAGTGGTGAGGTGTCCGGGAATATTTTATGCAGTTTTACTTTTGAGTAGTGTAACCTGTGTATCACCTTAAACTGTACAAGGTTGTGTCTGGCATTCACTGAACTGTGGTTTACATTCCTGAGAAACGGATGGGCTGGGCCAGAGTTGGCCTCCATGATGATGACGTTCTCAACTTTTGATACTCTGATTTGTTAGAGACCATCCAATCGTTGGTCAATTTTGTACAACGTCCCTAATTTTTAAGTCGCACAAATTACTTCTAGGATGGCAGTCTCAGACTGAATATACACTGATCAAAAATATAAACGCAACATGTAAAGTGTTAGTCCCATGTTTCATGAGCTGAAATAAAAGTTCCCAGAAATTTTCCAGACGTACAAAAAGCTTATTTCTCTCAACTTTTGTGCACGAATGTGTTTACATCCCTGTTAGTGAGCATTTCTCCTTTGCCAAGATAATCCATCCACCTGACAGGTGTGGCATATCAAGAAGCTGATTAAACAGCATGATCATTACACAGGTGCACCTTGTGCTGGGGACAATAAAAGGCCACTCTAAAATGTGCAGTTCTGTCACACAACACAATGCCACAGATGTTTTGAGGGAGCGTGCAGTTTGGCATGCTGACTGCAGGAATGTCCACCAGAGCTGTTGCCAGAGAATGTAATGTTAATTTCACTACCATAAGCTGCCTCCAACGTCGTTTTAGAGAATTTGGCAGTACGTCCATCCGGCCTCACAACCACAGACCAGGTGTAACCACGTCAGCCCAGGACCTCCACATCCGGCTTCTTCACCTGCGGGATAGTCTGAGACCAGCCACCCAGACAGCTGATGAAACTGAGGAGTATTTCTGTCTATAATAAAGCCCTTTTGTGGGGGCAAAAACTAATTCTGATTGCCCACCCATGGCTGCGCCCCTGCCCAGTCATGTGAAATCCATAGATTAGGGCCTAATGAATTTATTTCAATTGACAGATTTTCCTTATATGAACTGTAACTGAAATTGTTGCATGATGCGTTTTATATTTTTGTTCAGTGTATGTAGCGATCAATAGAGGAATTAAATTCAAGGCCATTCTGAAACTGAGGGTTTATAAGAAATAGCCCCTGTAGTAATTTAATAGGATCTATATGGTATATGTCTATATTATCTGTAGGAACTATGCTTGTGTGGGATGTGGATCTACACTGAATGTACAAAACATTAGAAACACTGTCCTAATATTGAGTTGCACCCCCTTTTGCCCTCAGAACAGCCTCAATTCGTCGGGGCATGGACTCTACAAGGTGTCGAAAGCGTTCCACAGGGATGCTGGCCCATGTTGACTCCAATACTTTCCCACAGTAGTGTCAAGTTGGCTGGATGTCCTTTTGGTGGTGGACCATTCTTGGTACACACTGGAAACTGTTGAGCGTGGAAAAACCCGGGAGCGTTGCAGTTCTTGACACACTCAAACCGTTGTGCCTGGCACCTACTACGATACCCCGATCAAAGGCACTTCAATATTTTGTCTTGGCACACATACACACTACTGGTCAAAAGTTTGGACACATCTACTCATTCAAGGGTTTTTCTTTATTTTTACTCTTTTCTACATTCTACATAGTGAAAACATCAAACCTATGAAATAACACATATGGAATCATGTAGTAACCAAAAAGGTGTTAAACAAATCAAAATCTATTTTATATTTGAGATTCTTCAAATAGCCACCCTTTGCCTTGATGACAGCTTTGCACACTCTTGGCATTCTCTGGCTTGTACTGTACACAATTCATGTCTCAATTGTCTCAATGCTTAAAAATCCTTATTTAACCTGTCTCCTCCCCTTCATCTACACTGATTTGAAGTGGATTTAACAGGTGACATCAATAAGGGATCATAGCTTTCACCTGGATTCACCTGGTCAGTCTATGTCATGGAAAGAGCAGGTATTCTTAATGTTTTTCTTGAAATCAAATAGAGCCAACTAAAGGCGTTAACCCTCCACATCTCTCAAGACAGCTGGAGCACCTGGGCCAGCCACTCTTAAACACCTGACTAATGAGATGACAAGCCAGCACAGGTGTAACACATACTGACTAACACCAATCGGTGCGCCCAACTTGCTAACGTCCAACCTCGAAATATAAATGGAAAAACCAAAGCCTGTAACACCTTCCCCCTAAAGACAACAAATATATTCTATATATGTTTGCGCACAAACAGAAAACAACTTCCATTTCACAACATGATCAACTTAAATGGGTCACAGTCACACGTCCGTCTGTCTTGATGTGCACCCTGGTGAAAAGTAGTGCACTACAGTGCATTCAGGAAGTATTCAGCCCCCTTCCCCTTTTCCACATTACAGCCCTCTTCTAAAATGGATTAAATAAAAATATCATACTTCTACACACAATACCCCATAATGACAAAGTGAAAACAGGTTTATAGAAATGTTTGCAAATTTATACAAAATAAAAAACAGAAACCTTATTTACATAAGTATTCAGACCCTTTGCTATGAGACTTGAAATTGAGCTCAGGTGCATCCTGTTTCTATTGATCATCCTTGAAATGTTTCTACAACTTGATTGGAGTCCACCTGTGGTAAATTCAATTGATTGGACATGATTTGGAAAGGCACACACCTGTCTATATAAGGTCCCACAGTTGACAGTGCATGTCAGAGCAAAAACCAAGCCATGAGGTCGAAGGAATTCTCCGTAGAGCTCCGAGACAGGATTGTGTCGAGGCACAGATCTGGGGAAGGGTACCAAAACATTTCTGCAGCATTGAAGGTCCCCAAGAACACAGTGGCCTCCATCATTCTTAAATGGAAGGAGTTTGGAATCACCAAGACTCTTCCTAGAGCAGGGCGCCCGGCCAAACTGAGCAATCGGGGGAAAAGGGCCTTGGTCAGGGAGGTGACCAAGAACCCGATGGTCACTCTGACAGAGCTCTAGAGTTCATCTGTGGAGATGGGAGAACCTTCCAGAAGGACAACCATCTCTGCAGCACTCCACCAATCAGGCCTTTATGGTAGAGTGGCCAGACGGAAGCCACTCAGTAAAAGGCACATGACAGCCCACTTGGAGTTTGCAAAAAGGCACCTAAAGACTCTCAGACCATGAGAAACAAGATTCTCCGGTCTGATGAAACCAACATTGAACACTTTGGCCTGAATGCCAAGCGTCACATTTGGAGGAAACCTAGCACCATCGTTTCGGTGAAGCATGGTGGTGGCAGTATCATGCTGTGGGGATGTTTTTCAGCAGCAGGGACTGGGAGACTAGTCAGGATCGAGGGAAAGGTGAACGGCGCAAAGTACAGAGAGATCCTTGATGAAAACCTGCGCCAGAGCGCTCAGGACCTCAGACTGGGGCGACGGTTCACCTTCCAACAGGATAATGACCCTAAGCACACAGCCAAGACAACAGTCTCTGATTGTCCTTGAATGGCCCAGCCAGAGTCCGGACTTGAACCCGATCGAACATCTCTGGAGAGACCTGAAAATAGCTGTGCAGCAACACTCCCCATTCAACCTGACAGCGCTTGAGAGGATCTGCAGAGAAGAATGGGAGAAACTCCCCAAATACAGGTGTGCCAAGCTTGTAGCGTCATACCCAAGAAGACTTGAGGCTGTAATCGCTGCCAAAGGCGCTTCAACAAAGTACTGAGCAAAGGGTCTGAATACTTATGTAAATGTAATATTTCAGTTTTTTATTTTTAATAATGTCTAAACCTGTTTTTGCATCGTCATTATGGGGTATTGTGTGTAGATTGATGAGGGGGAAAAAATACAATTTAATCCATTTTAAAATAAGGCTAACGTAACAATGTGGAAAAAGTCAAGGGGTCTGAATACTTTCTGAATGTATATAGGGAATAGGATGCCATTAGGGATGCCTCCTGTTTCTCATCCCTACTGCCTGCTCTACTCTACTGTCACCAGAACTGCATTCCTCCTTCAAACACCATCATGTCTGTGATGGAAATCATCTAATTAGCTAAACTGGAGTCAGAAGGTTGTGAGAAACAAGACCGGATTCTTGTGGCAGACAAGGGCCTGTCTCTGTTGAGAGGGTTATATCTGTATGTTTGTCCCAAATGGCACCCTATTCAGTGCACTACTTTTGACCAGGGGCTGTAGGGAGTAGGGTTCCATTTGATACCTGCCCCCCCTGTGTCAAAGTGTCGTTGATGCGAGAGCAGCTCTCTGTTCTGTCACCTCAACTGTCTCTTTCAGATGTTTGAGATGGGAGCAGTAGGAGTCTTGCCCTGCCTGACATCACGTGGTCTTGTTTGATAATGTGAAGCGGTTGGGGTCTAAGCTGTAGTAGTAGTAGTAGTAGTAGTAGTAGTAGTAGTAGTAGTAGTAGTAGTAGTAGGGTTTAGAAGTACTCATCGTTAGTTTTGGAAAGGGATAGCCCCTCAAATACATAGAGAGCTGATCCAGGATGTTGGTGGTAGAGAGAGCTGATCCAGGATGTTGGTGGTAGAGAGAGCTGATCCAGGGTGTTGGTGCCAGAGAGAGCTGATCCAGGGTGTTGGTGGTAGAAAGAGCTGATCCAGGGTGTTGGTGCCAGAGAGAGCTGATCCAGGGTGTCGGTGGTAGAGAGAGCTGATCCAGGGTGTTGGTGCCAGAGAGAGCTGATCCAGGGTGTCGGTGGTAGAGAGAGCTGATCCAGGGTGTCGGTGGTAGAGAGAGCTGATCCAGGGTGTTGGTGCCAGAGAGAGCTGATCCAGGGTGTTGGTGGTAGAGAGAGCTGATCCAGGGTGTCGGTGGTAGAGAGAGCTGATCCAAGGTGCCGGTGGTAGAGGGAGCTGATCCAGGGTGCTGGTGGTAGAAAGAGCTGATCCAGGGTGCCAGAGAGCTGATCCAGGGTGTCGGTGGTAGAGAGCTGATCCAGGGTGTTGGTGGTAGAGAGCTGATCCAGGGTGTTGGTGGTAGAGAGAGCTGATCCAGGGTGTTGGTGGTAGAGAGAGCTGATCCAGGGTGTCGGTGGTAGAGAGAGCTGATCCAGGGTGTCGGTGGTAGAGAGAGCTGATCCAGGGTGTTGGTGGTAGAGAGAGCTGATCCAGGGTGTTGGTGGTAGAGAGAGCTGATCCAGGGTGTCGGTGCCAGAGAGCTGATCCTGGGTGTTGGTGCCAGAGAGAGCTGATCCAGGGTGTCGGCGGTAGAGAGAGGGATTTTTTTTTGTTTTAAATCAATTTTAGAATAAGGCTGTACGTAACAAAATGTGGAAAACGTCAAGGGGTCTGAATACTTACCGAATCCACTGTATATCAACATTGTATTTTCAGTTTCATTCCGTTCATGCCACCAACCATTTCCATTCATTTTGATTACCGTTTTTAAAAGCCAATTTATGCTTGATCCGCAAAACGTGGTCTGAGGCTCCTTATGGAGAGTGAGGCGCAAGTACGTAGCCTCTGGAGGCATGCAGAGGCCAGATCGAGCTCCGTGCCGCATCGGCGTGCGCCTCCCAAATGTTGTAACAATGCGGAGTGCTCCGTATAGCTCCTCATTGACATGATTGGTTGACAGTAGGTGGGTGTGGGAGGTCCTGTATAAACGCAAACTCACTTCCTTGACAACTTCCTCTGCTCAACAGCTCTGTGCTGCTCCGCAAAGCACAAGAAGTATGAATGCGCTGACTTCTGCAGAGGCCGTATCACCCTAAACGCTGCACGGCCAATGCAGATGTCGGTTTGACCATGCCTTTTACTCAGTGGTGTTTACATGCATCTGTGTAAGAGGGTGTATGTACACTGTGGCCATCTAGTGGCTGTGTCCTCCTATTACACGTTGTTGTGGCTGTTCAGCCCTCTACTGTCTTGTGGTTGCTTGCTTCAATGTGTTTAATGGTACCATCCAACACCAGCCATTTACCCAACCCTTAATCACCTCTGTTGCTCTCTCTCTCCAACTCTCCCTCCCTCCATCCCCCTCTCTCCAACTCTCCCTCCCTCATCCCCCTCTCTCTCCAACTCTCCCTCCCTCCATCCATCCCCCTCTCTCTCCAACTCTCCCTCCCTCCCTCCATCCCCCTCTCTCTCCAACTCTCCCTCCATCCCCCTCTCTCTCCAACTCTCCCTCCCTCCATCCCCCTCTCTCTCCAACTCTCCCTCCCTCCATCCCTCTCTCTCCCCAACTCTCCCTCCCTCCCTCCCTCCATCCCTCTCTCTCCCCAACTCTCCCTCCCTCCATCCCCCCTCTCTTCCCAACTCTCCCCTCCCTCCCTCCATCCCCCTCTCTCTCCAACTCTCCCTCCATCCCCCTCTCTCTCCAACTCTCCCTCCCTCCATCCTCTCTCTCCCCAACTCTCCCTCCCTCCATCCCCCTCTCTCCCCAACTCTCCCTCCCTCCATCCCCCTCTCTCTCCCCAACTCTCCCTCCCTCCATCCCCCTCTCTCTCTCCAACCTCCCTCCCTCCATCCCCCTCTCTTCCTCCAATCCCTCCCTCCCTCCATCCCCCTCTCTCCTCCAACTCTCCCTCCCTCCATCCCCCTCTCTCCCCAACTCTCCCTCCCTCCATCCCCCTCTCTCTCCCCAACTCTCCCTCCCTCCATCCCCCTCTCTCCCCAACTCTCCCCTCCCCTCCATCCCCCTCTCTCTCCTCCCCCAACTCTCCCTCCCTCCATTCCCCTGTCCTCTCACCATCAGACAATCACTCTGGCACTGCACCCATTCTCCAGCTTGCTGCTGCCACCTTCCCAAACCCTGGTGCCCCCATCCATGAAACCAAAAGTAAGTTCACTCACTTGTAGTCCAGTCTTACCATGGGCCCATCCATTGCACCTGTTTCAGAACTAGGCCCCTGTGTTTTGGGCAGTCATGTCACATGACCTGCATTTTGACCTTTTTTTATTTAAAGCTTTTTCATCAATCCGTCCCCTTTTTTTCTTATGTCAGATGGTCCAGCTCCGTCCTCAGACAACTATATTTCGTTTTAGGTGGATTTCTCTTTTCTGGACACAGCTTCAAATACAGGATAATCTAGGTCATGTGACATTATAGTCCAAAACACAGGGCCCAATTCATAACTTCTACTAACTCATTAGTTCTTCCCCATGTTTATTCTCTGTCATTTATATATGTCTACCTAATCCATCCACATTGCTGGAGTTGGCTCCGTCCTCTAAGTGCTCACTTTTCATGCTCCTTCCAGTAAATGTATTTCATTTAATCAGTACTATCATTGGGCGATGTTGCAGTGCCGTTCCTCGCAGTGAAAATGACTTAGTCTGATCTCATCACCAGGGCTGGTGGCACCATTATCCTATAATCTTGTAACGGACAATTATGGACAATGACCGTCAACAAATTTGTCATAATCGTCTCAATACATTTATTTGAGGAGGGATTTAACTTTATTTTCAAGTATATATAGTTGACCTAATAGCAGTTTAAAATGTTGACATGAAAAGGGTAAAATTGGTAATGATTTTACGAGCAGAACAGAACGGTCTGGAGGAAAAGCTTCATTTCCAAAAGTTCCAAGTAGTCAAACAATTTTTTTTTAAATATGGGGGTGTCACCAGAGCTATGTTGTATTCGTTAGGCCGTAGCCAAAGATGCAATACAATCTCTAAACATGTATCAACAAAAATGACAATTATGAAATCCGTGGTCGTTTTCATGACATTCGTTACCCAAAATTCCATAATCGTCACAGTCCTACCCATCACACTCGGGTGGTTGACGTTGAACGTAGTTTGGTGGTGTTCTCAGTTTACACACTAGGTGGCAACAGCAAGCTGTAACATCTCTTGGGTCTCAAGACTGTAGAAATACTAGAAGGGTTATGTCTGCTCGCTGTAACGGATGGTACTGACCTTGTGCTACAGTTACATTATATAATAAATAAATGACCTTATTTGCCTTTTCTGATTATTTCTTAATAAGTAAACAAATATGTATTTGTGTACAGTATCTTACTGTTAGATAGTATTGTGCTGTTTAAAAAATCAAATCAAATGTTATTTGTCACATTCTCAGAATACAACAGGTGTAGACCTTACCATGAAATGCTTACTTACAACTTACAAGCCCTTAACCAACAATGCAGTTTTCATTTACTAAATGAACTAAAGCCCCCCCCAAAAGGTTAGTTGAGGTAATTTGTACATAGGTAGGCAGGGGTAAAGTGACTATTCATAGATAATAGACAGCGAGTAGCAGCAGTGTAAAACCAAAGGAAGGGAGGGGGTCAATGCAAATAGTCAGGGTGGCCATTTGATTAATTGTATATACAGAGAGGGAAAAAAGTATTTGATCCCCTGCTGATTTTGTACGTTTGCCCACTGACAAAGAAATTATCAGTCTATAATTTTAATGGTAGGTTTATTTGAACAGTGAGAGACAGAATAACAACAACAAAATCCAGAAAAATACATGTCAAAAATGTTATAAATTGATTTGCATTTTAATGAGGGAAATAAGTATTTGACCCCCTCTCAATCAAAGATTTCTGGCTCCCAGGTGTCTTTTATACAGGTAACGAGCTGAGATTAGGAGCACACTCTTAAAGGGAGTGCTCCTAATCTCAGCTTGTTACCTGTATAAAAGACACCTGTCCACAGAAGCAATCAATCAATCAGATTCCAAACTCTCCACCATGGCCAAGACCAAAGAGCTCTCCAAGGATGTCAGGAACAAGATTGTAGACCTACACAAGGCTGGAATGGGCTACAAGACCATCGCAAAGCAGCTTGGTGAGAAGGTGACAACAGTTGGTGCGATTATTCACAAATGGAAGAAACACAATAACTGTCAATCTCCCTCGGCCTGGGGCTCCATGCAAGATCTCACCTCGTGGAGTTGCAATGATCATGAGAACGGTGAGGAATCAGCCCAGAACTACACGGGAGGATCTTGTCAATGATCTCAAGGCAGCTGGGACCATAGTCACCAAGAAAACAATTGGTAACACACTACGCCGTGAAGGACTGAAATCCTGCAGCGCCCGCAAGGTCCCCCTGCTCAAGAAAGCACATATACAGGGCCGTCTGAAGTTTGCCAATGAACATCTGAATGATTCAGAGGAGAACTGGGTGAAAGTGTTGTGGTCAGATGAGACCAAAATTGAGCTCTTTGGCATCAACTCAACTCGCCGTGTTTGGAGGAGGAGGAATGCTGCCTATGACCCCAAGAACACCATCCCCACCGTCAAACATGGAGGTGGAAACATTATGCTTTGGGGGTATTTTTCTGCTAAGGGGACAGGACAACTTCACCGCATCAAAGGGACAATGGACGGGACCATGTACCGTCATCTTGGGTGAGAACCTCCTTCCCTCAGCCAGGGCATATAAAATGGGTTGTGGATGGGTATTCCAGCATGACAATGACCCAAAACACACGGCCAAGGCAACAAAGGAGTGGCTCAAGAAGAAGCACATTATGGTCCTGGAGTGGCTTAGCCAGTCTCCAGACCTTAATCCCATAGAAAATCTGTGGAGGGAGCTGAAGGTTCGAGTTGCCAAACGTCAGCCTCGAAACCTTAATGACTTGGAGAAGGTCTGCAAAGAGGAGTGGGACAAAATCCCTCCTGAGATGTGTGCAAACCTGGTGGCCTACTACAAGAAACGTCTGACCTCTGTGATTGCCAACAAGGGTTTTGCCACCAAGTACTAAGTCATGTTTTGCAGAGGGGTCAAATACTTATTTCCCTCATTAAAATGCAAATCAATTTATAACATTTTTGACATGCGTTTTTCTGGATTTTTGTTGTTGTTATTCTGTCTCTCACTGTTCAAATAAACCTACCATTAAAATTATAGACTGATCATGTCTTTGTCAGTGGGCAAACGTACAAAATCAGCAGGGGATCAAATACTTTTTTCCCTCACTGTAGGTCCTGGATGGCAGGAAGCTTGGCCCCAGTGATATACTGGGCCGTACGCACTACCCTCTGTAGCGCCTTACGGTCGGATGCCAAGCAGTTGCCATACCAGGCGGTGATGCAATCGGTCAGGATGCTCTCGATGGCGTAGCTGTAGAACTTTTTGAGGATCTGGGGACCCATGCCAAATCATTTCAGTCTCCTGAGGGGGAAAAGGCGTTGTCGTGCCCTCTTCACAACTTTCTTAGATAGTATTGTACTGTTAAACAGCTGGAGCTTGAAACACAAGCATTTCACTTCACCTGCTTTAACATCTGCTAATCTGTGAATGCAACAAATAAACTTTGATTTGACAAAGGCGCATACCAATCCTGACCTCACTGTCGCCTTTAGGCATCATGTGGTTCTTGGAAGTTTATTAAGCATTTTCCCCTTTTTCCATATGCTGTCCCAAACAGCTTTGAATGAATGGATGGATGTGCACTAGCATGCGAGGATCCCTCAGGCTTAGCTTAGTTTAGCTTGTCCTGGACTGGATTAACTCAACCCAAAGAGTCGGCCTGTCCGTCTGACTGAAGCTGGGATGTTTTATGGTGTTTTGTTACTGATGTTTAAATGTGCAATCTGGGATCTTTACAGGCGTTTTTGTCTTTAACGTGAGGAACCACTTGAGTAAATGAGGGATACAAAGTATATTGAAAGCAGGCGCTTCCACACAGGTGTGGTTCCTGAGTTAATTAAGCGGTTAATATTTAATCATGCTTAGGGTCATGTATAATCATTTTGGCTACCGTGGCTAGAAGAGATCTCAGTGACTTTTGAAGGATCCCAAAAGGAGCACAGGGGGTTTTAAAGGGTGTGTTAGTGACTCACAACCCGCTGTCCCCGCGGTTATATCCGTGGGGTGGTTGGGTTAAGGGTCATGAAATATTGGGTGGCGGGCAGATGGGTTGAATAAAGAGAAAACAATACGTTTTAAAAACAATCCATAAATTGTGACGAGGTGTGAATAAAGGAGTCAGGCGCCGGAGGTAAAACACAGAAGTCCAGAGTTTATTCCGTTTACATAAATCAAACGCCCCAAGCGTCAAAACGTAACTATTACAAGGGAAAACACCCACCTTGGCAATAACACAGTGAAGAGTAGCTCAACCGAGCTACACGCTCTCACAACAAACAATCACTCACAAAGACAAGGGGAACAGAGGGAACACTTATACACATACTAATTAGGGGAATGAGCACCAGGTGTTTGTGTGTGTGTGATTGACAAGACATGACAAGTGGAGTGATGAGAATGGGATCGGCAGTAGCTAGTACTCCGGTGACGACGAACGCCGAAGCCTGCCCGAACCAGGAGGGGGGGGCAGCCTCGGCGGAAGTCGTGACATAAATGTATCATTCTTGTGCAATTTATATCTACAGGCTACATTGAGGTTATTCTTTCATTATTTTTAGGCTGTCTGGCGTTTTAGTGCGTAAGCTTTAGGGCCTAACTTTTAACACACCAATCGCCTACACACCAATCGCCAAACGCTTTTGGGAAGGGGCAGAAAAAGTGAACGTTGATCCGCTGAGGGCAAAAAGGATCATGTCAAAGGTTAATTCAAATAGAGAAAAGCTTGCTAAATGGAGATTTGAAATTTAATAGAAGGGAAGGCCAGAACAGTAGTCTAATGTTTGGGAAAGATTTGGTGAAGTGGTAAAAGAGGATGATAGCAGTGCCGGCTATGTTATGTGTGATGATTGTGAGGCGCTATACAAATTCGACAGTCACAAGACGGGGACTTCAAATAGGCCTATGGCACGTCAAGGGAACTGTAGCCCACTGTTCAGATGGGTTAAATGGAAACTGAGATCCGGACCCTAACTGTAGGTCTATAACCTAGCCTTAATATTAACTCCTGCAGAATTACTCCTGCATTGCTTTCAGTAAAATTTACACACCAAATGTACATTTTGACTCGGGAACAGGAGTGGAGAAATATGACTTCTTTCAGCATCTTGAGAGAATGTGAACGCGTAGTTGGGGACTTCCGTAGAGGTGGTATCTTTATCAGGATCATCCAAGCCCAACTGGGAAAAACTAATTTTCTATTTTAGCGCGTTAGGCCGGTGCGGGCCTCCCCAGATTTTCACTTTATCACATAGTCTGGTGGTTACGGATGGGGTTATTAGCAGTTGCGGGTAAACAAACAGCTGACCCGCGCACCGTGTTTGTGGGTCTATCACCTGATCTCAACTCAATTGAACACTTAGGAAGGTTCCGGAGGGGAACCTGAGACGGCGTTTTTTTTCTCCACCACCAGCAACAAAACACCAAATGATGGAAGTCCAATAGAGTCTATGACGAGGCGCATTGAAGCTGTTCCGGCTGCTCGCGGTGGCCCAACACCCTGATTTAGTCACTCTATTTAGTCAGTTACCTGTGTATTCAAATGTGTCTGCTGTTGGTGCTCAAACTCAAATCCCAGATTGTAGCTTTTAATACTTTCATGCCAATCTGATTGCTCAACTCCTCCTCTGTTTTAATATCGGTATTTTTGGATTGCGTCTCGTCTCGCCTCACTGCTCCAGTCTTCACCGGCGGTTAACCAGACGCGGCTGAGGTTGAGTCCCAAATGGCGCCCCTATCCCCTATCTAGTGCCTTACTTTTCCTCTGGTCAAAAGTAGTGCACTACATAGGGAATAGGGTGCCATTTTGGGATGTACCCTGAGTGACTGGGAATAAGGCGGCCTCACAAAGGATTCCTTCTTTACCTGTTAGCCAGCAGCAGTCAGATAACACATTACAGTACAGCATATTGTAGTCTATCTTCACTAACATGTTACAATATGCATCAAAACTATGAAATAACACACATATGGAATCATGTAGTAACCAAAAAAGTGTGAAACAAATCAAAATGTATTTGAGATTCTTCAAAGTAGCCAGCCTTTGCCTTGATGACAGCTTTGCACACGCTTGGCATTCTCTCAACCAGTTTCATGAGGTTGTCACCTGGAATGCATTTCAATTAACAGGTGTGCCTTGTTAAAAGTTAACTTGTGGAATTTCTTTCCTTCTTAATGCATTTGAGCCAATCAGTTGTGTTGTGACAAGGTAGGGGTGGTATACAGAAGATAGCCCTATTTGGTAAAAGAAAAGTCCATATTATGGCAAGAACAGCTCAAATAAGTAAAGAGAAACGACAGTCCATCAATACTTTAAGACATGAAGGTCAGTCAATACGGAAAATGTCAAGAACTTTGAACGTTTCTTCAAGTGCAGTTACAAAAACCATCAAACGTTATAATGAAACTGACTCATGAGGACCGCGACAGGAATGGAAGACCCAGAGTTACCTCTGCTGCAGAGGATAAGTTCATTAGAGTTACCAGCCTCAGAAATTGCAGCCCAAATAAATGCTTCACAGAGTTCAAGTAACAGACACATCTCAACATCAACTGTTCAGAGGAGACTGCGTGAATCAGGCCTTCATGGTCGAATTGCTGCAAAGAAACCACTACTAAAGGACACCAATAATAAGAAGAAGAGACTTGCTTGGGCCAAGAAACACGAGCAATAGACATTAGACTGGTGGAAATCTTTCCTTTTGGTCTGAGTCCAAATTGGAGATTTTTGGTTCCAACCGCTGTGTCTTTGTGGACGCAGAGTAGGTGAACGGATGATCTCCACTTGTGTGGTTCCCACCGTGAAGCATGGAGGAGATGTGAGGGTGCTTTGCTGGTGACACTGTCAGTGATTTATTTAGAATTCAAGGGAGACTTAACCAGCATGGCTACCACAGCATTCTGCAGCGATACGCCATCCCATCTGGTTTGGGCTTAGTGGGACTATCATTTGTTTTTTCAACAGGACAATGAAACACCTCCAGGCTGTGGAAGGGCTATTTTACCAAGAAGGAGAGTGATGGAGTGCTGCATCAGATGACCTGGCCTCCACAATCATACGAGCTCAACCCAATTGAGATGGTTTGGGATGAGTCGGACGGCAGAGTGAAGGACAAGCAGCCAACAAGTGCTCAGCATATGTGGGAACTCCTTCAAGACTGTTGGAAAAGCATTCCAGGTGAAGCTGGTTGAGAGAATGCCAAGAGTGTGCAAAGCTGTCATCAAGGCAAAGGGTGGCTACTTGAAGAATAAAATATATTTAACACTTTTTTTTTTGTTACTACATGATTCCATATGTGTTATTTCATAGTTTTGATGTCTTCACTGTTATTCTATAATGTAGAAAATAGTAAAAAATAAAGAACAGCCCTTGAATGAGTAGGTGTGTCCAAACTTTTGACTGGTACTGTATGTCTGTAAAGATGTTATGAAATGGACTCTGGATACATGCGGTTTATCTAATCAGCCTAATCTCTGGTTGGTTGTCTTGTGTGATTGTAGTGTAAAAGACTTCAAGAGAATTTAAAACGAACTTGCCAATTTGAAGCTGTTGATTCAATTTTAGACATGGATTTCAAACTCTTTGAGCCTCGGATAAAAGTCATATTTCAGTCATCATACTAAGGTTCCAACTCCTTTCATATTTTCACGTTTATTGGAAGGAGACGGTGAAAGAGACAGTAAAGTTAGGAGAGCGTGTATTAGAAGGGCGGAGAGCGTGTATTAGAAGGGAGGAGAGCGTGTATTAGAAGTCTGATTTCAAACCCTCACTGACTTGTCTGTATGTCTCCCTCCCTCCCTCTCTCTCTCCCTGCCTCTCTCTCTCTCCTCTCTCTCTCTCTCTCTCTCTCTCTCTCTCTCTCTCTCTCTCTCTCTCTCTCTCTCTCTCTCTCTCTCTCTCTCTCTCTCCCCCTCCCCCCCTCTCACCCAGGCTACCCGTCCCTGCGTATTGAGAAGAACGACCTGAGAAGTGTTAGTCTGCTGGAGGTCAAAGCCAAGGTCAAAGACATCGCCATCTCCAGACTGAGAGTCACTCTACGGGACGTCCTGCATGAAGGTAACTCTAACTACACACACACATATACACACACACACACATATACATACACACACACACAGAGTATTGCGACTGCAACAGTTCGCAACCCCCAGAATTTCAGAGCTGACTGGCACTGAAGTCTGAATATAACCTGAATTCTGATTACTGGATTGAACTGCATTAACCATCGCAACACAAATATCCTGATTGCATCTCTACAGCATTAGTGAGACAACTATAGCCTACAGTCACAGGACACAGACCGTGACTGTGGCGGGACCCAACCTGTCCGATAGATCTGCTGTTGACTTCTGGGAAATGTGTCCTCTGACCTCTGCAATTATCTCCATGTTGTGAAACGAAAGAACACAGAACACACTGTTCGACTCCATTTCCTACTAAGCCCTTACAAGGTGTTTTGTGACGTCTGTGCGTACGTCCCAAATGGCACCCTATTCGCTGGCACGCCTAGGGGCCCTGGTCAAAAGAAGGGCACTTTATAGGGTTTAGGGACACAGACGCACACATTGATTCATGACTGATGGATGAATGTTATTGTTTTACGTGGTTGTGAAATGTAAAGATGTTACAGAACACACGGTCCAATGACCAGATCCCACTTCCAACTAAGATGATCTACCCCCAGAAAAAAAAAAAAAATAATAATAATAATAATAATTACATTTGCCCAATACATAGATCAATGAAATTCGACCAGAACAAAGGAAACGCCATGGAAACGCCATGCACGGAAAATTAGCCAACTGTGTATTTCACATAATGGGTAAAAATGGGAGTATATGCATGTCAACCCCAATACATGTTCATGCCATCGTCACCAACTGCATTACACTTCAAAACGGCTTCAACTACCACCACCGATTTCTATATGGCTAGTTATGCTACCTGCTTATGCGAATGGGGTGTTAGCACTTAGCAGCCATGTTTTATAAAGGTGAAAAGGGATAACTTCTAAATATAATGCAGCGAAAACAGCCAAATATATCCAAATGGGATTTTAGTAACCACGTTGTGGGCCGGCCGGTTAGAACACATACATCATGACTGATTTTTACAAATATCCACATTGTTAGACCATATGTTTTGATTGGCCACCAATGAGGGCTTCCTTTACACTTTGCTCACGGTCTGCATTCCATTGACCTCTATACGACATGTATTGCTTCATTCAGGTAGTAGTATGCGATGTGTGGATATTTGGAATTAGAGGTCTTCAACGTGTCCAAAAAGTTGGACCCCGTTCCGAAATGGTTCCGTGGCTTTCCCACCCCACCAGCTATGCGTACATAGCTCGTAACCGACTTCAGTGGCCAAATGCTCACCTTCGATGGCCACTGGCATGCTGGAGAAGTGTGCTCTTCACGGATGCGTGTATGGCGTCGTGTGGGTTAGCGGTTTGCTGATGTCAACGTTGTGAACAGAGTATCCCATGGTTACTGTGGGGTTATGGTATGGGCAGGCATAAGCTACGGACAACAAACACAATTGCATTTTATCGATGGCCATTTGAATGCAGAGATACCGTGACGAGATCCTGAGGCCCATTGACGTGCCATTCATCCGCCGCCATCACCTCATGTTTTAGCATGATAATGCCCGCCCCCATGTCACAAGGATCTGTACACAATTCCTGGAAGTTGAAAATGTCCCAGTTCTTCCATGGCCTGCATACTCACCAGACATGTCACCCATAGAGCATGTTTGGGATGCTCTGGATCGACGTGTACGACAACGCGTTCCAGTTCCCGCCAATATCCAGCAACTTCTGTCTAGTTCCTCGTTTAGATCTCTTGGAGACAGAGTGCTGAGGAAATGTATCCAAAAGGACTCGTCTCAGGAGGAAATTGACAATATCGCCCTGGCCTTGCTCCAGCGTAGCTCTGGTCTGGCCCTGGCTTTGCTCCAGCGTAGCTCTGGTCTGGCCCTGGCATTGCTCCAGCGTAGCTCTGGTCTGGCCCCAAGCTGAGGAGTCTGCTGAGAAGATGATGACACAACGGCCTGCAGAAATCACACTACTCCTCAGCAAAAACCTGATCTGATCCTCCCTGGCCTCCCATAGCCCAAGGCTGTGTGTTCTGTGTTATAACAGTGCTTATTTCTTGTATGTTGGAGAACATCACCCACTTCTTTGCCATATTCCTGTGAATATGGTTTACTGAGTTTATTTGGTGGCTTTTTTTTATCACACAGCCACAGACCACATTCAAAACCCTCAGGCACACTGCATAAACGGTGTTGTTATCATTGATGAACAGTGCCCCTGACTGTGCTCGCTGTGCACCAGTCACACAGATGGTGCACGTGTAGATCTAATGATCTGTGCTGGCGTCTTTAGTTTAGGATTGTTGTTTGCTGACCACTCGTGATATCCAATTCCCTCTCCGGAGACCTCACCTTTATCAATGTGCCTGCCTTGTGCAACGAGGACTGGAGAAAGTTGTTTTTGCCAAAGTGATGTTGGAACTATTCCATTCAGATTTACAGCAGAAAATTACCTCAGTCGGTGCTCTCCAGAGCACCGGCCCTATAGGAAGAGGTCAGGATGTTTGTGAGGGAGGGAGGGAGGGAAAAGGAGCCCTTGGAGGGGGCTCTCCACTCTGTATGGGTTTCTTCTGTTCCAGCGAGCCTGCAGGTCCAGACTCGCCCGACAGAGCCGGGGAGAGAATGAAGAGACAATTAAACACTAACCCTGTTGTTATCCGTCATCAGTACTCCTGTTGAGACACAGGGCCAAGTTACACAGGGCCAAGTTGGCCTCCAGGCCTGTATTATTCAGTTTACCTTGATGATTGACGCTGTTTTAATGTATTTTTTACCTGCTTCTCTCCTCTGTTTCTCTGTCCCTGAAGCTATCAATGCTTATATAGCGCCCTTCTCTCTTTACCGTGTGTTGAAGCTGTTTTGTCAGAATAGCTCTGTCATTGTCCCGTGATTTTGTTTTTAGGTTGGCTGTCATCAGCATAGCAATGGTAGGCGAGACTGTGAGGATATGACCACAGTTAGTGACGAGAGGACCTAGAACCGAGCCCTGGGGGACACCAGGAGAGGACCTAGTACCAAGCCCTGATGGACACCAGGAGAGGACCTAGTACCGATCCCTGGGGGACACCAGTAGTGAGACATTAAAGAATACCTAGAAACAAGCCTTGGGGGACACCAGTAGTGAGACATTAAAGAATACCTAGTACCGAGCCCTGGGGGACACCAGTAGTGAGACATTAAAGAATACCTAGAAACAAGCCTTGGGGGACACCAGTAGTGAGACATTAAAGAATACCTAGAAACAAGCCTTGGGGGACACCAGTAGTGAGACATTAAAGAATACCTAGAAACAAGCCCTGGGGGATACCAGTAGTGAGACATTAAAGAATACCTAGAAACAAGCCCTGGGGGATACCAGTAGTGAGACATTAAAGAATACCTAGAAACAAGCCTTGGGGGACACCAGTAGTGAGACATTAAAGAATACCTAGAAACAAGCCTTGGGGGACACCAGTAGTGAGACATTAAAGAATACCTAGAAACAAGCCTTGGGGGACACCAGTAGTGAGACATTAAAGAATACCTAGAAACAAGCCCTGGGGGATACCAGTAGTGAGACATTAAAGAATACCTAGAAACAAGCCTTGGGGGACACCAGTAGTGAGACATTAAAGAATACCTAGAAACAAGCCTTGGGGGACACCAGTAGTGAGACATTAAAGAATACCTAGAAACAAGCCCTGGGGGACACCAGTAGTGAGAACAGGAGAGGACCTAGTACCGATCCCTGGGGGACACCAGTAGTGAGAACAGGAGAGGACCTAGTACCGAGCCCTGGGGGACACCAGTAGTGAGAACAGGAGAGGACCTAGTACCGATCCCTGATGGACACCAGTAGTGAGAACAGGAGAGGACCTAGTACCGATCCCTGGGGGACACCAGTAGTGAGAACAGGAGAGGACCTAGTACCGATCCCTGAGGGACACCAGTAGTGAGAACAGGAGAGGACCTAGTACCGATCCCTGAGGGACACCAGTAGTGAGAACAGGAGAGGACCTAGTACCGATCCCTGGGGGACACCAGTAGTGAGAACAGGAGAGGACCTAGTACCGATCCCTGGGGGACACCAGTAGTGAGAACAGGAGAGGACCTAGTACCGAGCCCTGGGGGACACCAGTAGTGAGAACAGGAGAGGACCTAGTACCGATCCCTGAGGGACACCAGTAGTGAGAACAGGAGAGGACCTAGTACAGAACCCTGGGGGACACCAGTAGTGAGAACAGGAGAGGACCTAGTACCGATCCCTGAGGGACACCAGTAGTGAGAACAGGAGAGGACCTAGTACAGAACCCTGGGGGATACCAGTAGTGAGAACAGGAGAGGACCTAGTACCGAGCCCTGGGGGACACCAGGAGAGGACCTAGTACCGAGCCCTGAGGGATATGAGTTTTACAGAGCCCTGAAATGCTGTTCATTGGGGTTCTATGTCATTTTTATGTTTTCCAATGAGTGATGAAGGAATTAACAAAAGCCCACCCTCTGTCAGCCAGTGTGTGTGAGGTGACGTTTCACTGTCAGTCTGTCAATGAGACGCGCCTGCCTCTGCCCTTGTACTTTCCTTTTAATAAAATCTGTGCTCTTCTTTCACAGGAACGTTTGGCCGCATCTTCCACGGTGTTCTATTGGACGAGAAGGACCCGACCAAGGAGAAGCAGTGCTTTGTGAAGACTGTGAAAGGTACGCAGTCGTCCATTCCCTCATCACTGCCTGCAACCCATTCAGTCCCATGTCACTGCTTCAGCTATTGCGCTCTAGTGTAACAAACAATGTTTTCCATCCGTAAATTGAAACATTATGCTGTAAAGGTTGTTTTAACGTTTTCCCCGTCTCCCTTTCATGGGTAACTTAACGTGTGTTTAAAAAAATAAAGGGCTTGGCAAACAGTGTTATGGCAGGTGCCAGGATGGCATGTCCCTGAGTAAACTGAGTACCACCTGATCTGTTTCCAGGAAGTTGCTATGTCTGTTTCATCTCTATGCTCCTGCTGCAGACAGAGAAAGCCCTCGGTTCACAAATGCCACTGTTAAAGGGCTGACCGAAAGTTAAAGCCGGTGTCAATTGTACCATGGTCAGAAAATGAATGGTACACAACACAAGAATAGAGTTCATCTGTCTTTGGATGCTAAACCTTTCAAGAACCTTTTCAACAGTGTTATTGACATATTAAAGCGTCACAAGACCCTATCATTGTTAATGTGTATACTGTGTATTGCTGCTATCTGCGTGGCTGTGATGAATTTCCCACCAGTTTGAATAAACAGATATCCATTTATCTTATTAGGTTTCCTGTGCATATGAAAACAATTGTTAGCAGGGCTGTTAGCCTACGGATTAGACCATAATGTTAACCTAAGGTTATGGGTTTGGGTTAAATGGACTTAGGCAACCTCTGACCACTTGACTTCGATCTCGTCAGGTGGAAGGGTACCCGTAGGTTACCACCCCCACAGCATATGGCTCTCCTTCCCGCAGGCGTTCTCAGGTTCATGTCTCCCTTTCCAGCTGACCTTTGCCCTCTAGCTCCTCTAGACACTTCCATGTTTATCCAGGGTGGGGTGGGTACCAAACCATGAACAATGTGCCCACAACCATGCCAACCATACCAGGGTCCTGCTTTGTTCATCGTTCCACTTCCTCCTCCTCTTCCTCCCAGCAGGCCCCGAGGGCAGGAAACATGCCTGCTTCCCAGAAGGCCTCTCTCTCACTCCCAGATTAAACACGGGCCCTCTGCAGACCTGGGTTCAAATAGTTTATGAAATCACTTCAAGAACTTTATCTGGGTTTTGATTGAGTTTGGCAAAAAAAGAATCAATAGAATAGTCGCACGAGTGCAAACCCCGCTGACACTCCAGGAAGACTAGAGCAAACGCCCAATAATTTGAATGATTTTAAATAGTAATAGAACCCAGTTCTGGGCCTCTGTGTGGCTTGGCTTGGCAAGAGTCAATCTAGCGTCTGTTTCTCCAAACCAGAGAAGATATAACTCTCACAGGAAGCCCTGACTGGTGGGGCTGTTCTCAGAGAATAGAATGGTGTGAGGTCAAGAGGGTTGTTAGACTGTTAGATGACCTTTTTTAGACTATTTCCCCCCCCCCCCCCCAGTTAGTCATGAGGAATGTTCATGGCTCAGCTTGTTCAAGAAGGGTTAGCATACAGCCAAGCAGTCGTAGCATACAGCCAAGCAGTCGTAGCATACAGCCAAGCAGTCGTCTACTGACTGGTGTTTTGGGGTTGTGTTCCAAAACTTAAGTTGGGTGTTCATCAAGACTGCACTAATATATCCCCTGATTTTCTAGACTAAACCTGAGTCTCTTGTCTTGTCTTCTCTCCTTCCTTCTTGATTTCTCTCTTTTGCTCTTTCGCCTCTTCTCTCATTCTGTAGACCAGGCCTCTGAGGTGCAGGTGACCATGATGCTGACAGAAAGCTGTAAACTACGAGGACTTCATCACAGGTAAATCAGTCAATCAAATCACCAGAGGTACGTCACAACCAGCTGAACCGAGATCAGACAGATCTGTTTTTTAATTCTGCGGGTTAGTCAGTAAGTCAAAGGGCTAGCCTCTGGCGTCCTTGTTTATTTCCACATGGCATCGACATGACGAGACACATATATATACACAACTCAGACTGACTGAGCTGTCTGCTCAGCAATAACTCATCATCCCACACATTCATTCTAATTCTATGGTCGTAACAACAGAATGTCCCTGAACTGGAAACCTGTTGAAAGAGTCACCTTGCACAACTAGATGCCAACTAGATTTCCGTACACTAAAGATTACATGTTATAAAACGGGTGGTTTGGATCCTGGATGTCAATTGGCACAATTGAGTTTATTTATAATTGTAAGTAGTCCAACCTGATCCCCCAGAGAACAGCACTTAAAAGCATTTATTAAAACACTTGTTTCCAAAGTGGTCCTCAAACAGCATTCCAGCCGTGACGATATTTACATTTTAGTAATTTAGCAGACGCTCTTATCCAGAGCGACTTAGTTAGTGAGTGCATAAATTTTTCACCACATTTTTATTTATTTGCTACACGTATATACCACGATATATTACCCCAAACTCACACTGTCATAATAACACGAGCTCCCTTGAACTAGGCACTACCTTGGAAACTTGTTGAAAGGGTCCCAGCACCACCCTGTTTAGCTTCCCACATTAAAAGATTACACACTGTTGTCTTAGGTTGTTCCTCATTCTGCGTGAACCCTTGAACTGTCCGCTATGCTAGGGCCATGTGTTGTGCGCAATCATGTGACACAGCAATATTTGATCCTGTGTTTTGAAGCTGTATCCAGAAAAGAGAATTCCACCTAAAAAATGAAAGCAGTTGTCTAAGGACGGAGCTGGACCATCTGACATGAGAAGAAAAAGGGGACGGTCTGATGAAAAAGCTTTTAAATAAAGGTTAAAATCCAGGCGTGTGACATGACTGGCCAAAACACAGGACCCTAGTTATGACTGGAACGTCAGCCTGTTGCATTGTTGGTCCTGATTCAAGGCTGCTGCAGTCTGACACTTCCCCAAAACACCTCTGAGCATTGGACTGCTTGTCCTGCCGTACGTGTGTTGTGTGTGCAAGATATTGGGTCTGTGCGTGTGTGTGTGCACTGGGTGATTATGTGGAAGCCGTGTAAGTTCGTCACGGCTGGGCCCACACCTTCCTCTTCCCCTTCCTGAGGTCAGGCTGTCACAGTGAGAGACGACTCTCCTTTCATCTGCTCTCCGAGACGCATCCTCCTCCGTCTGTCTGGCAGCCACTAATGTCCCGTCAGCCAACACCGAAACCAATTTTCCCAGAACTCCCTCCTGTGTGACACATTGTCACGCAATGGGCTTGACTGGTTTTAACATCTCACCAATCTTCAACAAAATATATGCCCATTCAGTGGAGTTGGTTTCACCCCTGCTGAGACACAGGATTAGTAATATTTTCCATTGGTCTAAGTAGAGATGTAATACTCATTAATACTCCACGCGTTATTCGTTTTTGTGTCTGTGTGTGTTGGGGAAGGCAGAAGACACATCTAACCCAAAGGACAATAAAGTATCTATATTGCTAGATATATTACTGGCATCTCTTGCGAAATATATTTTTATCCCAGTGAGACACACCTGGATAAATAAAGTTGAGCTCTTTCTCAAAGCTCCTGATCGGGATCACGTTCTGTGCGGGTTATTTTACACTCCATAGCTACTGCTCCCACTCCACCTCCCATGTGTTATTATACACTCCATAGATACTGCTCCCACTCCACCTCCCATGTGTTATTATACACTCCATAGATACTGCTCCCACTCCACCTCCCATGTGTTATTATACACTCCATAGATACTGCTCCCACTCCACCTCCCATGTGTTATTTTACACTCCATAGATACTGCTCCCACTCCACCTCCCATGTGTTATTATACACTCCATAGATACTGCTCCCACTCCACCTCCCATGTGTTATTATACACTCCATAGATACTGCTCCCACTCCACCTCCCATGTGTTATTATACACTCCATAGATACTGCTCCCACTCCACCTCCCATGTGTTATTATACACTCCATAGATACTGCTCCCACTCCACCTCCCATGTGTTATTATACACTCCATAGATACTGCTCCCACTCCACCTCCCATGTGTTATTTTACACTACATAGATACTGCTCCCACGTGTTATTATACACTCCATAGATACTGCTCCCACTCCACCTCCCATGTGTTATTTTACACTCATTTACATTTACATTTTAGTCATTTAGCAGACGCTCTTATCCAGAGCGACTTACAGGAGCAATTAGGGTTAAGTGCCTTGCTTAAGGGCACATCGACAGATTTTTCACATAGTCGGCTCGGGGATTAGAACCAGCGACCTTTCGGTTACTGGCACAACGCTCTTACCCACTAAGCTACCTGCCGCCCAGAAATTTACACTCCATAGCTACTGCTCCCACTCCACCTCCCATGTGTTATTTTACACTCCATAGATACTGCTCCCACTCCACCTCCCATGTGTTATTATACACTCCATAGATACTGCTCCCACTCCACCTCCCATGTGTTATTATACACTCCATAGATACTGCTCCCACTCCACCTCCCATGTGTTATTATACACTCCATAGATACTGCTCCCACTCCACCTCCCATGTGTTATTATACACTATATAGCTACTGTTCCCACTCCACCTCCCATATGTTATTATACACTCCATAGATACTGCTCCCACTCCACCTCCCATGTGTTATTATACACTCCATAGATACTGCTCCCACGCCACCTCCCATGTGTTATTATACACTCCATAGCTACTGCTCCCACTCCACCTCCCATGTGTTATTATACACTCCATAGATACTGCTCCCACTCCACCTCCCATGTGTTATTATACACTCCATAGATACTGCTCCCACTCCACCTCCCATGTGTTATTTTACACTCCATAGATACTGCTCCCACTCCACCTCCCATGTGTTATTATACACTCCATAGATACTGCTCCCACTCCACCTCCCATGTGTTATTATACACTCCATAGATACTGCTCCCACTCCACCTCCCATGTGTTATTATACACTCCATAGATACTGCTCCCACTCCACCTCCCATGTGTTATTTTACACTACATAGATACTGCTCCCACGTGTTATTATACACTCCATAGATACTGCTCCCACTCCACCTCCCATGTGTTATTTTACACTCCATAGCTACTGCTCCCACTCCACCTCCCATGTGTTATTATACACTATATAGATACTGTTCCCACTCCACCTCCCATATGTTATTATACACTCCATAGATACTGCTCCCACTCCACCTCCCATGTGTTATTATACACTCCATAGATACTGCTCCCACTCCACCTCCCATGTGTTATTTTACACTCCATAGCTACTGCTCCCACTCCACCTCCCATGTGTTATTATACACTCCATAGATACTGCTCCCACTCCACCTCCCATGTGTTATTATACGCTCCATTGATACTGCTCCCACTCCACCTCCCATGTGTTATTATACACTCCATAGATACTGCTCCCACTCCACCTCCCATGTGTTATTATACACTCCATAGATACTGCTCCCACTCCACCTCCCATGTGTTATTATACACTCCATAGATACTGCTCCCACTCCACCTCCCATGTGTTATTATACACTCCATAGATACTGCTCCCACTCCACCTCCCATGTGTTATTATACACTCCATAGATACTGCTCCCACTCCACCTCCCATGTGTTATTATACACTCCATAGATACTGCTCCCACTCCACCTCCCATGTGTTATTTTACACTACATAGATACTGCTCCCACGTGTTATTATACACTCCATAGATACTGCTCCCACTCCACCTCCCATGTGTTATTATACACTCCATAGATACTGCTCCCACTCCACCTCCCATGTGTTATTATACACTCCATAGATACTGCTCCCACTCCACCTCCCATGTGTTATTATACACTCCATAGATACTGCTCCCACTCCACCTCCCATGTGTTATTATACACTCCATAGATACTGCTCCCACTCCACCTCCCATGTGTTATTATACACTCCATAGATACTGCTCCCACTCCACCTCCCATGTGTTATTATACACTCCATAGATACTGCTCCCACTCCACCTCCCATGTGTTATTATACACTCCATAGATACTGCTCCCACTCCACCTCCCATGTGTTATTATACACTCCATAGATACTGCTCCCACTCCACCTCCCATGTGTTTATTATACACTCCATAGATACTGCTCCCACTCCACCTCCCATGTGTTACTATACACTCCATAGATACTGCTCCCACTCCACCTCCCATGTGTTATTATACACTCCATAGATACTGCTCCCACTCCACCTCCCATGTGTTATTTTACACTCCATAGATACTGCTCCCACTCCACCTCCCCGGCGATATCGCACTTCCGCATCTGCGGTGAAAGGTGACAGAGCTATAGCGGGTGTTTGTCGGACCATGAGACATCCCGAAAATCGGTCTTCTCACAGAAAACCTACAAACTATTATGACAACTCTGTGGAAAGATGAGACTCTCATGAACACGATGACCCTCACAAGCGTCTTGGTGCAGCCGACCTGCCAACTTCTGTCTGTAGCGTCCGAACCGTTTGGGCTACACACTAATATGACCGCTCTGTGGAAACGTGAGCCTACCACGAACACGTAGATGTGGGTTGTTTTGCTGTATGACTCCCACAGGCCTCACAAGACTCATCTCATCTTGAGAAAATTAATGGAAGGACAGTATACAGTTGAAGTCTGAAGTTTACATACACCTTAGCCAAATACATTTAAACTCAGTTTTTCACAATTCCTGACATTTTATCCTAGTAAAAATTCCCTGTCTTAGGTCAGTTAGGATCACCACTTTATTTTAAGAATGTGAAATGTCAGAATAATAGTAGAGAGAATTATGATTTATGATTAATGATTTATTTCAGCTTTTATTTCTTTCATCACATTCCCAGTGGATCAGAAGTTTACATACACTCAATTAGTATTTGGTAGCATTGCCTTTACATTTTTTAACTTGGGTCAAACGTTTCGGGTAGTCTTCCACAAGCTTCCCACAATAAATTGGGTGAATTTTGTCCCATTCCTCCTGACAGAGCTGGTGTAACTGAGTCAGGTTTGTAGGCCTCCTTGCTCGCACACGCTTTTTCAGTTCTGCCCACAAATTTTCTATAGGATTGAGGTCAGGGCTTTGTGATGGCCACTCCAATACCTTGACTTTGTTATCCATAAGCCATTTTGCCACAACTTTGGAAGTATGCTCGGGGTCATTGTCCATTTGGAAGACCCATTTGCGACCAAGCTTTAACTTCCTGACTGATGTCTTGAGATGTTGCTTCAATATATCCACATAATTTTCCTTCCTCATGATGCAAAAACGAGTTTTAATGACTCCAACCTAAGTGTATGTAAACTTCCGACTTCAACTGTACATATACATACAGTGAGGGGGAAAAAGTATTTGATCCCCTGCTGATTTTGTATGTTTGCCCACTGACAAAGACATGATCAGTCTATAATTTTAATGGTAGGTTTATTTGAACAGTGAGAGGCAGAATAACAACAAAAAAATCCAGAAAAGCGTATGTCAAAAATTTTATAAATTGATTTGCATTTTAATGAGGGAAATAAGTATTTGACCCCTCTGCAAAAATGACTTAGTACTTGGTGGCGAAACCCTTGTTGGCAATCAGAGGTCAGACCTTTCTTGCAGTTGGCCACCAGGTTTGCACACATCTCAGGAGGGATTTTGTCCCACTCCTCTTTGCAGATCTTCTCCAAGTCATTAAGGTTTCGAGCCTGACGTTTGGCAACTCGAACCTTCAGCTCCCTCCACAGATTTTCTATGGGATTAAGGTCTGGAGACTGGCTAGGCCATTCCAGTACCTTAATGTGCTTCTTCTTGAGCCACTCCTTTGTTGCCTTGGCCGTGTGTTTTGGGTCATTGTCATGCTGGAATACCCATCCACGACCCATTTTCAATGCCCTGGCTGAGGGAAGGAGGTTCTCACCCAAGATTTGACGGTACATGGCCCCGTCCATCGTCCCTTTGATGCGGTGAAGTTGTCCTGTCCCCTTAGCAGAAAAACACCCCCAAAGCATATTGTTTCCACCTCCATGTTTGACGGTGGGGATGGTGTTCTTGGGGTCATAGGCAGCATTCCTCTTCCTCCAAACACGGCAAGTTGAGTTGATGCCAAAGAGCTAGATTTTGGTCTCATCTAACCACAACACTTTCACCCAGTTCTCCTCTGAATCGTTCAGATGTTCATTGGCAAACTTCAGACGGGCCTGTATATGTGCTTTCTTGAGCAGGGGGACCTTGCGGGCGCTGCAGGATTTCAGTCCTTCACGGCGTAGTGTGTTACCAATTGTTTTCTTGGTGACTATGGTCCCAGCTGCTTTGAGATCATTGACAAGATCCTCACGTATAGTTCTGGGCTGATTCCTCACCGTTCTCATGATCATTGCAACTCCACGAGGTGAGACCTTGCATGGAGCCCCAGGCCGAGGGAGATTGACAGTTATTTGTGTTTCTTTCATTTGCGAATAATCACACCAACTGTTTTCACCTTCTCACCAAGCTGCTTGGCGATGGTCTTGTAGCCCATTCCAGCCTTGTGTAGGTCAACAATCTTGTCCCTGACATCCTTGGAGAGCTCTTTGGTCTTGGCCATGGTGGAGAGTTTGGAATCTGATTGATTGATTGCTTCTGTGGACAGGTGTCTTTTATACAGGTAACAAACTGAGATTAGGAGCACACCTGAGATTAGGAGCACTCCATTTAAGAGTGTGCTCCTAATCTCAGCTTGTTACCTGTATAAAAGAAACCTGACCAATCTTTCTGATTGAGAGGGTGTCAAATACTTTTTTCCCTCATTAAAATGCAAATCAAGTTATAACATATTTAACATGCGTTTTTCTGGATTTTTTTGTTGTTATTCTGTCTCACACTGTTCAAATAAACCTACCATTAAAATTATAGACTGATCATTTCTTTGTCAGTGGGCAAACGTACAGTGGGGGAAAAAAGTATTTAGTCAGCCACCAATTGTGCAAGTTCTCCCACTTAAAAAGATGAGAGAGGCCTGTAATTTTCATCATAGGTACACGTCAACTATGACAGACAAATTGAGAAAAAAATATCCAGGAAATCACATTGTAGGATTTTTTATGAATTTATTTGCAAATTTAAGTATTTGGTCACCTACAAACAAGCAAGATGTCTGGCTCTCACAGACCTGTAACTTCTTCTTTAAGAGGCTCCTCTGTCCTCCACTCGTTACCTGTATTAATGGCACCTGTTTGAACTTGTTATCAGATTAAAAGACACCTGTCCACAACCTCAAACAGTCACACTCCAAACTCCACTATGGCCAAGACCAAAGAGCTGTCAAAGGACACCAGAAACAAAATTGTAGACCTGCACCAGGCTGGGAAGACTGAATCTGCAATAGGTAAGCAGCTTGGTTTGAAGAAATCAACTGTGGGAGCAATTATTAGGAAATGGAAGACATACAAGACCACTGATAATCTCCCTCGATCTGGGGCTCCACGCAAGATCTCACCCCGTTGGGTCAAAATGATCACAAGAACAGTGAGCAAAAATCCCAGAACCACACGGGGGGACCTAGTGAATGACCTGCAGAGAGCTGGGACCAAAGTAACAAAGCCTACCATCAGTAACACACTACGCCGCCAGGGACTCAAATCCTGCAGTGCCAGACGTGTCCCCCTGCTTAAGCCAGTACATGTCCAGGCCCGTCTGAAGTTTGCTAGAGTGCATTTGGATGATCCAGAAGAGGATTGGGAGAATGTCATATGGTCAGATGAAACCAAAATAGAACTTTTTGGTAAAAACTCAACTCGTCCTGTTTGGAGGACAAAGAATGCTGAGTTGCATCCAAAGAACACCATACCTACTGTGAAGCATGGAGGTGGAAACATCATGCTTTGGGGCTGTTTTTCTGCAAAGGGACCAGGACGACTGATCCGTGTAAAGGAAAGAATGAATGGGGCCATGTATCGTGAGATTTTGAGTGAAAACCTCCTTCCATCAGCAAGGGCATTGAAGATGAAACGTGGCTGGGTCTTACAGCATGACAATGATCCCAAACACACCGCCCGGGCAACGAAGGAGTGGCTTCGTAAGAAGCATTTCAAGGTCCTGGAGTGGCCTAGCCAGTCTCCAGATCTCAACCCCATAGAAAATCTTTGGAGGGAGTTGAAAGTCTGTGTTGCCCAGCGACAGCCCCAAAACATCACTGCTCTAGAGGAGATCTGCATGGAGGAATGGGCCAAAATACCAATAACGACTTACAGAAAATATTTGACCTGTGTCATTGCCAACATAGGGTATATAACAAAGTGTTGAGAAACTTTTGTTATTGACCAAATACTTATTTTCCACCATAATTTGCAAATAAATTCATGAAAAATCCTACAATGTGATTTTCTGGATTTTTTTTCTCATTTTGTCTGTCATAGTTGACGTGTACCTATGATGAAAATTACAGGCCTCTCATCTTTCTAAGTGGGATAACTTGCACAATTGGTGGCTGAAACTTGCACAATTGGTGGCTGACTAAATACTTTTTCCCCCCACTGTACAAAATCAGCTGGGGATCAAATACTTTTTTCCCTCACTGTACATACATATACACATACATACATATAAATACATATACATACATATATACATATCCTTTAAAAATATATATTTCCCATTATCATTTTGACCTAAGTGTATGTAAACTTCCGACTTCAACTGTATATGGAGACTGTTTAGTGCCAAAAATAAGGGGTTAAATACATGGGGGGGGACATCCTGATATTTATTATCTCAGATATAGGACAGACACTTTAGAACAAACTTTCATTTTATTATTTTTGGGACTCTGTTCCATGCAGTGAATCTGTAATTCAACGCGTTTGAATGGGCTAATAGCATTAAGGCCAAATATATATACTTCAAAATTTAAAATCAAATAGCTAAGTCATCCTTGGCATGACCTTCTTAAAACAATTCCATATAGCTTAGTAGAACCCCCTCCCCGGCTTCGACTGTAGAGGGTTAATATTCTACTGAAGCTTGGAATGCAATAGTTGGAACATTTCTTTTGAACATGTCCTTTGTGTACAACATGAAGTTGGTTTGTTCATCAGGGAAGCGGCAGCGGAGCACAGAGCATCCTCTAGGTTGGCAGCGGAACAAAGAGCATCCGCTAGGTGTAAAATCTCTTCAGCCACGGCAAAACGGGTTTCCAGAACATCCGTAACCTCAGCCACTCCGAATAAAGTTTCCATACGTATTTCAGATGTGTTCTCTCCTTTCCCCCGAACACAGATGATATGTCCTCCAGTACCCCCAGCAGTACATATTTATGTTGTGGTCCCGGACAAGCACACCTGATTCTACTTGTCAACTAATCTTCAAGCCCTTGACAAGTTGAATCATGTGTTTTTGTCCAGGGTTACAACAAAATGTGTGCTGTTAGGGGTACTTGAGGACCCAGAGTTGGGAAACACTGGGCTAACTGATGTGTGCAGTATGTTTACCCTTGTGTTTCTCTCTGTCCTCCAGGAACCTGCTCCCCATCAGTCACGTGTGTACAGAGGAAGGAGAGAAGCCCATGGTACTGCTGCCCTATATGAACTGGGGTAACCTCAAACTGTTCCTGAGACAGTGCAAGCTGGCCGAGGCCAACAACCCACAGGTGAGCCCCTAACCCTGGCTCCGGCCTACTGCCGTCCTACCGTTCTATGGTTATCCTACCATTATCCAAACCCTGGCTCCGGCCTACTGCCGTCCTACCGTTCTACTATGGTTATCCTACCATTATCCAAACCCTGGCTCCGGCCTACTGTCATCCTACCGTTCTACTATGGTTATCCTACCATTATCCAAACCCTGGCTCCGGCCTACTGCCGTCCTACCGTTCTATGGTTATCCTACCATTATCCAAACCCTGGCTCCGGCCTACTGCCGTCCTACCGTTCTACTATGGTTATCCTACCATTATCCAAACCCTGGCTCCGGCCTACTGTCATCCTACCGTTCTACTATGGTTATCCTACCATTATCCAAACCCTGGCTCCGGCCTACTGTCATCCTACCGTTCTACTATGGTTATCCTACCATTATCCAAACCCTGGCTCCGGCCTACTGCCGTCCTACCGTTCTATGGTTATCCTACCATTATCCAAACCCTGGCTCTGGCGTACTGTCGTCCTACCGTTCTATGGTTATCCTACCATTATCCAAACCCTGGCTCTGGCCTACTGTCGTCCTACCGTTCTATGGTTATCCTACCATTATCCAAACCCTGGCTCTGGCCTACTGTCGTCCTACCGTTCTATGGTTATCCTACCATTATCCAAACCCTGGCTCTGGCCTACTGTCGTCCTACCGTTCTATGGTTATCCTACTATTATCCAAACCCTGGCTCCGGCCTACTGTCATCCTACCGTTCTACTATGGTTATCCTACCATTATCCAAACCCTGGCTCCGGCCTACTGCCGTCCTACCGTTCTATGGTTATCCTACCATTATCCAAACCCTGGCTCTGGCGTACTGTCGTCCTACCGTTCTATGGTTATCCTACCATTATCCAAACCCTGGCTCCGGCCTACTGTCATCCTACCGTTCTATGGTTATCCTACCATTATCCAAACCCTGGCTGTGGCCTACTGTCGTCCTACCGTTCTATGGTTATCCTACCATTATCCAAACCCTGGCTCCGGCCTACTGTCATCCTACGGTTATCCTACCATTATCCAAACCCTGGCTCTGGCCTACTGTCGTCCTACCGTTCTATGGTTATCCTACTATTATCCAAACCCTGGCTCTGGCCTACTGTCGTCCTACGGTTATCCTACCATTATCCAAACTCTGGCTCTGGCCTACTGCCATCCTACCGTTCTATGGTTATCCTACCATTATTTTAAGATCAGATTAAGATCACTTTATTGGTCAACTGAAGGTCCAACTGAAATGTGACTTCCGTTTTTAACTCAACCCCTCCGAAATACACACATACATACAGGTTTTGGAGAGGTGCTGGGATCACCCGGAAGCTTCTGTTGTGGGGAGTTAAGTACCTTGCTTAAGGGCACAACGGCAGGCAGTGGCATCTAGAATCTGATACCAGCAACCCACCGCTTGCCAGCTTACTTCCAGACAGATTTTTCCCCCGTCGGAACCGGGATTCGAACTGTCAACCCTCTGGTTGCAGGCTAGCCTTTCTAACCGCTAGGCTACCTGCCACGCCTCATCTTACCATTGTCCTACCGTCGCCCTACCGTCGCCCTACCGTCATACCACCGTCATACTACCGTCCACATAAAGTATATCTGCTCTGGCTTAGATATCATAGTAGAACTGCAATTTAGAATTTTTGTCATTGTCATTCATCAACAGAATTGTGGGGGGCATAACTTGATACAGTTGAATCATGTTCAGGGCTCCAGACTGCGACCATTTAGTCGCATTTTGTGACCCTTTGATTTGGCTGAGCGAATAAAAAATTTAACTGGTCACATCGGTGCGAGCTGCACATTCTACATTATCTTTTTTTTTAGGAGGCTAAAACCATGATTTGGTCCAACTGTAAAGTACATTATCCTCATGATTGCTGTAATGAAAGTGTCTGTGATTGTAGCCTACTACCGTTTCATCTTCAATGCCCTTGCTGATGGAAGGAGGTTTTCAATCAAAATCTCACGATACATGGCCCCATTCATTCTTTCCTTTACACGGATCAGTCTTCCTGGTCCCTTTGCAGAAAAACAGCCCCAAAGCATGATGTTTCCACCCCCATGCTTTACAGTAGGTGTGGTGTTCTTTGGATGCAACTCAGCATTCTTTGTTCGGCTATGAAAAGCCAACTGAGAGACCTGAGCCCTAGGACCATACGTCGGGACCACCGGCCGTGGTGACTCCTTGCTGTCCCCAGTCCGCCTGGCCTTGCTGCTATTCCAGTTTTAACTGTTCTGCCTGCGGTTATGGAACCCCTACCTGTCCCAGACCTGCTGTTTTCAACTCTTAATGATCGGCTATGAAAAGCCAACTGAGATTTATTCCTGATTATTATTTGACCATGCTTGTCACTTATGAACATTTTTGAACATCTTGGCATGGTTCTGTTATAATCTCCACCCGGCACAGCCAGAAGAGGACTGGCCACCCCTCATAGCCTGGTTCCTCTCTAGGTTTCTTCCTAGGTTTTGGCCTTTCTAGGGAGTTTTTCCTAGCCACCGTGCTTCTACACCTGCATTACTAGCTGTTTGGGGTTTTAGGCTGGGTTTCTGTACAGCACTTCGAGATATTAGCTAATGTATGAAGGGCTATATAAAATAAAATTGATTGATTGATTGATTTGTCCTCCAAACACGACGAGTTGAGTTTTTACCAAAAAGTTCTATTTTGGTTTCATCTGACCATATGACATTCTCCCAATCCTCTTCTGGATCATCCAAATGCACTCTAGCAAACTTCAGACGGGCCTGGACATGTACTGGCTTAAGCAGGGGGACACGTCTGGCACTGCAGGATTTGAGTCCCTGGCGGCGTAGTGTGTTACTGATGGTAGGCTTTGTTACTTTGGTCCCAGCTCTCTGCAGGTCATTCACTAGGTCCACGCAAGATATCACCCCGTGGGGTCAAAATGATCACAAGAACGGTGAGCAAAAATCCCAGAACCACACGGGGGGACCTAGTGAATGACCTGCAGAGAGCTGGGACCAAAGTAACAAAGCCTACCATCAGTAACACACTACGCCGCCAGGGACTCAAATCCTGCAGTGCCAGACGTGTCCCCCTGCTTAAGCCAGTACATGTCCAGGCCCGTCTGAAGTTTGCTAGAGTGCATTTGGATGATCCAGAAGAGGATTGGGAGAATGTCATATCGTCAGATGAAACCAAAATATAACTTTTTGGTAAAAACCCAACTCGTCGTGTTTGGAGGACAAAGAATGCTGAGTTGCATCCAAAGAACACCATACCTACTGTGAATTATGGAGGTGGAAACATCATGCTTTGGGGCTGTTTTTCTGCAAAGGGACCAGGACGACTGATCCGTGTAAAGGAAAGAATGAATGGGGCCATGTATCGTGAGATTTTGAGTGAAAACCTCCTTCCATCAGCAAGGGCATTGAAGATGAAACGTGGCTGGGTCTTTCAGCATGACAATGATCCCAAACACACCGCCCGGGCAACGAAGGAGTGGCTTCGTAAGAAGCATTTCAAGGTCCTGGAGTGGCCTAGCCAGTCTCCAGATCTCAACCCCATAGAAAATCTTTGGAGGGAGTTGAAAGTCCGTGTTGCCCAGCGACAGCCCCAAAACATCACTGCTCTAGAGGAGATCTGCATGGAGGAATGGGCCAAAATACCAATAAACAGTATGTGAAAACCTTGTGAAGACTTACAGAAAACGTTTGACCTGTGTCATTGCCAACATAGGGTATATAACAAAGTATTGAGAAACTTTTGTTATTGACCAAATACTTATTTTCCACCATAATTTGCAAATAAATTCATAAAAAATCCTACAATGTGATTTTCTGGATTTTTTTTCCTCAATTTGTCTGGCATAGTTGACATGTACCTATGATGAAAATTACAGGCCTCTCTCATCTTTTTAAGTGGGAGAACTTGCACAATTGGTGGCTGACTAAATACTTTTTTCCCCCACTGTAGTTAGCAACTTCCTTAAAACTGCACGCAGAGACATTAAAATGGTATCCACGAGTTCTTCTGACTCTGGGGAAGTAGAATTGCTAAGTACCCCTTTAATCTGGAGCTTAAGGCATAGACACTGTGTCCCATTGTGCTTGGTACCCCCAGGGGTCCTTTGATCCACTTGGCACGTAACGTAAATCCAACCAATCAATCAGCCTTGAACCGAGACTCTCGATTCTCACACGCACATGCGCGCGCACACGCACGTTCCGAGAGGGAAAAGCCTTGTTGAAGGTGTAGCAGCAAAAACCTGCTGACTAATTTTCCATCACAAGACTAAGCTTGCTGCTCAATAGCTGTGAAGAGAACTTCCTTTGTATGTTTGGGATAACACTCCACCACTTTGAATCCCATCCATCCTCTCAAAATATACTTTTGCCCGATTTGGTAGGGGACTGACAAAGACATACTCATAACATTTCTTTCCTTGTGCTGTCGTAAAATAAACATGTAGACATAAATCATCGGTGTATCTTTAGAGGGAGACTGAGGCTACGTCCCAAATGGCACCCTATTCCCTATATAGTGCACTACTTTTGACCAGAGCGCTATGGGGAATTAGGTTGCCATTTGGGAGACACCCTGAAGTGTCTGGAAAGCACGGAGAGAGCATAGCATTATTCCGGTCTTTAGCATAGCTTTATTCCGGTCTTTAGCATAGCATTATTCCGGTCTGATGAGGGGGGAAAAAAACAATTTAATCAATTTTCAAGTCTCATAGCAAAGGGTCACAATACGTATGTAAGGCGCTTCAACAAAGTACTGAGTAAAGGGTCTGAATACTTATGTAAATAAGGTATTCTTTTTTTAATTTTTAAACATGTGCAAAAATGTCCACCTGTTTTTGCTTTGTCATTATGTGGTATTGTGTGTAGATTGCTGAGGATTTTTTTTTTACTTAATCATTTTTAGAATAAGTCTGTAACGTAACAAAATATGGAAAAAGTCAAGGGGTCTGAATACTTTCCGAAGGCACTGTATATATGGTTCTGGGTTTAACCAAGCTATAATGTTGTACATGTACAGTGAGGGAAAAAAAGTATTTGATCCCCTGCTGATTTTGTACGTTTGCCCACTGACAAAGACATGATTAGTCTATCATTTTAATGGTAGGTTTATTTGAACAGTGAGAGACAGAATAACAACAAAAAAATCCAGAAAAACTATGTTATAAAATGTTATAAATTGATTTGCATTTTAATGAGGGAAATAAGTATTTGACCCCTCTGCAAAACATGACTTAGTACTGGTGGCAAAACCCTTGTTGGCAATCACAGAGGTCAGACGTTTCTTGTAGTTGGCCACCAGGTTTGCACACATCTCAGGAGGGATTTTGTCCCACTCCTCTTTGCAGATCTTCTCCAAGTCATGAAGGTTTCGAGCCTGACGTTTGGCAACTCGAACCATCAGCTCCCTCCACATATTTTCTATGGGATTAAGGTCTGGAGACTGGCTAGGCCACTCCAGGACCTTAATGTGCTTCTTCTTGAGCCACTCCTTTGTTGCCTTGGCCGTGTGTTTTGGGTCATTGTCATGCTGGAATACCCATCCACGACCCATTTTCAATGCCCTGGCTGAGGGAAGGAGGTTCTCACCCAAGATTTTACGGTACATGGCCCCGTCCATAGTCCCTTTGATGCGGTGAAGTTGTCCTGTACCCTTAGCAGAAAATCACCCCCAAAGCATAATGTTTCCACCTCCATGTTTGACGGTGGGGATGGTGTTCTTGGGGTCATAGGCAGCATTCCTCCTCCTCCAAACACAGCGAGTTGAGTTGATGCCAAAGAGCTCGATTTTGGTCTCATCTGACCACAACACTTTCACCCAGTTCTCCTCTGAATCATTCAGATGTTCATTGGCAAACTTCAGACGGCCCTGTATATGTGCTTTCTTGAGCAGGGGGACCTTGCGGGCGCTGCAGGATTTCAGTCCTTCACGGCGTAGTGTGTTACCAATTGTTTTCTTGGTGACTATGGTCCCAACTGCCTTGAGATCATTGACGAGATCATTGACAAGATCCTCCCGTGTAGTTCTGGGCTGGTTCTTCACCGTTCTCATGGTCATTGCAACTCCACGAGGTGAGATGTTGCATGGAGCCCCAGGCCGAGGGAGATTGACAGTTCTTTTGTGTTTCTTCCATTTGCGAATAATCGCACCAACTGTTTTCACCTTCTCACCAAGCTGCTTGGCGATGGTCTTGTAGCCCATTCCAGCCTTGTGTAGGTCTACAATCTTGTCCCTGACATCCTCGGAGAGCTCTTTGGTCTTGGCCATGGTGGAGAGTTTGGAATCTGATTGATTGCTTCTGTGGACAGGTGTCTTTTATACAGGTAACAAGCTGAGATTAGGAGCACTCCCTTTAAGAGTGTGCTCCTAATCTCAGCTCGTTACCTGTATAAAAGACACCTGGGAGCCAGAACTCTTTCTGAAAATTATAGACTGATCATTTCTTTGTCAGTGGGCAAACGTACAAAATCAGCAGGGGATCAAATACTGTTTTCCCTCACTGTATGTATGTCTCTGGGTTTAATCACGCTATAATGTTGCCTGGCGCTGATGTCTTCTTTAACACAAAGGGTCCAATTAATACGAGTTGAGTCACGCTGACAGATCAGGTCACAGAACATTAAACAGCTGGAAATCTCTTCCCTGTGCGTATGCTTGCATGTGTGTGCATGCGTGTGCCTATGACAGCTGTAAATCTCTGCTGTGTCCATCAGAGCCAGCCCCGGCACACAATGCACCTCACCCCAGCAGTGTGTCTGACTCAGGCTGAGGTTGCATCCCAAATGGCACCCTTTTCCCTATGTAGTGCACTACTTTTGACCAGTGCCCATGGGGAATGGGGTGCCATTTGGGATGCAGGGCAGGATTACGTCAAAGCCGTGATGTGGTGCATCAGGAGCCCTCTTTCTTTCTTCTGGGGAATTAGCTCTCACAGCATGTCATCCATCCTCTTCAGCTCTCACAGCATGTCATCCGTCCTCTTCAGCTCACACAGCATGTCATCCGTCCTCTTCAGCTCACACAGCATGTCATCCGTCCTCTTCAGCTCACACAGCATGTCATCCGTCCTCTTCAGCTCACACAGCATGTCATCCGTCCTCTTCAGCTCACACAGCATGTCATCCGTCCTCTTCAGCTCACACAGCATGTAATCCGTCCTCTTCAGCTCACACAGCATGTCATCCGTCCTCTTCAGCTCACACAGCATGTCATCCGTCCTCTTCAGCTCACACAGCATGTCATCCGTCCTCTTCAGCTCACACAGCATGTCATCCGTCGGCTAGTTGTCTGTCACCTTTCCAGGTGAAACACAATATGTTTATGTAAATAGACACCGCTAGGCTAAGCTACATTAATTAGCATCATGACATGCTGTTTATGTGTACTCTGCTAGGCTAAGCCATCCGAGCTAATTGGACAGATAACACGATGGTAGTGAAGCAGGCTTATGGTTCCTCCTGTCTCACTAGATGATCTTCTACTTTGGATGTGTCCCACCTAGTATCTACATAGTGCACTGCTTTTTACCAGAGCCCTGTGGGCCTTTTGGTTTCTGTATTAGTCAGGGGTCCTTCAGGCCTGTCTCTTGGGGCCCTCTTAAAAACAAAACAAATAGCTTTTATCCTAAACAGGCTATATGGCCCTCTGTCCTGTCTGTAAAACTTTAATAGCTACAAGACTAGTTTCATTCTTGTTATACAGTATTTTTCTTGTGGAATCTGAAAAGTGCTTTAAAAAGCCTCCCATAATAAGTCCTACTACAGTGATCTGAAAAGTGATTGAAGCCATTGTTATTTTTTCTCAGAGTGGTGAAATTGTAAACCTCACCAACCAGACTACTTCTCTGAATATCCACTTTCCACCACGCGCTCTCTCTCTCTCTCTCTCTCTCTCTCTCTCTCTCTCTCCTCTCTCTCTCTCTCTCCTCTCTCTCTCTCTCTCTCTCTTCTCTCTCTCTCTCTCTCTCTCTCTCCTCTCCTCTCTCTCTCTCTCTCTCTCTCTCTCTCTCTCTCTCTCCTCTCTCCTGTCTCTGCCTCTGTCTCCTCTGTCTCTCTCTCTCTCTCTCGTCTCCTCTCTCTGTCTCTCTCTCCTCTCTCTGTCTCGCTCCTCTTCCTTCTCTCTCTGTCTCTCCCCTCTCTGTCTTCTCTCTCCCTCTGTCTCTGTAGGCCATCTCCCAGCAGGACTTGGTCCACATGGCGATCCAGATCTCATGTGGGATGAGCTACCTGGCCAGGAGAGAGGTCATCCACAAAGATCTGGCCGCCAGGAACTGTGTGTGAGTATCTCATGACCCTGTCGGAACGCTCTATGCAGGAGTTGTGACAGAGCGAAGATATGGGATATGCATCCGTTTTGTTGTTTTTATTTTTTGTCCTATCGTGATGCAACGGTGCCGACCCTATATTCTAGACACCCACCTGAGCGACCCACCCACTAAGGAGGAGGCTATTACTGCAGGTAGCCTAAACAGCCATGACAGAAAGACGAACGCAGACAGAGACCCACTAAAGCAGCACTGCCTCAAGAGCCTGAGTATATGTACAACATATGATAATAATAATAATATGCCATTTAGCATATGAGTGTATACAACTATTTAATCCATTTTAGAATAAGGCTGTTACGTAACAAGGTGGAATAAGTCAAGGGGTCTGAATACTTTCACTACCTCATACCCCTGCACATTGACTCAGTACCGGTACTTCCTGTATACAGCCTCATTATTGTATTGTTTTACGATTTCCTTTTTTATTTAGCAAATATTTGTCTTTTTAACTCTGCGTTGTTGGGAAAGGGCTCGTAAGTAAGCTTTGCACGGTGAAGTCTACACCTGTTGTATTCGGCGCATGTGACCAATACAATTTATTTCATTTGATAACATACCATTTAGAAAACCTACAGAAAGTGTTTGTCAACTACTGTGTTGGGTGATACCTTCGGTTCACACTTTCTGTTAAAGGTCCCTATATAAGGACTTGATATCACATTTGTAACCAATACACAACGCATTCATAAGCATTTCATAAACACTTAATAGCAACAACTGTAAGAGCATGTAAATGTATGTTGAATCAGTTAACCATGTCCTCTACCCCCCCTCCTCTCCTCTGTTGCCATGTCCTCTACCCCCCCTCCTCTCCTCTGTTGCCATGTCCTCTACCCCCCCCTCCTCTCCTCTGTTGCCATGTCCTCTACCCCCCCCTCCTCTCCTCTGTTGCCATGTCCTCTACCCCCCCCTCCTCTCCGCTGTTGGCCATGTCCTCTACCCCCCCCCCTCCTCTCCTCTGTTGCCATGTCCTCTACCCCCCCTCCTTCTCGGTTGCCATGTCCGCTATCCCCCCCTCCTATTCCCTGTTGCATGTCCTCTAGCCCCCCCCCTCCCTCTTCCTCTACCCCCCCCTCCTCTCCTCTGTTTGCCATGTCCTCTACACCTCCCTCTAACCACCCCCCCTCCTCTCCTCTTTTGCCATGTCCTCTAATCCCCCCCCCTCTCCGCTGTTGCCATGTCTCATAACCCCCCTCCTCTCCTCTGTTGCTATGGTCCTCTACCCCTACCCCCCTCCTCTCCTCTGTTGCCATGTCCTCTACCCTCCTCTCTCTGTTGCCATGTCCTCTATCACCACCCCCCTCCTCTCCTCTGTTTTTTTGCCATTCCTCTAACCCCCTCCTCTCCTCTGGTGCCATGTCCTCTAACCCCCCCCTCCTCACTCTACCAACCCCCCTCCTCTCCTCTGTTGCCATTCCGCTACCCCCCTCCTCTCCTCTGTTGCCATGTCCTCTACCTACCCTACCCCCCCTCCTCCGCTCTACCCCCCTCCTCTCCTCCTACCCTACTACCCCCCCCCTCTCCTCTGTTGCCATGTCCTCTACCCCCCTCCTCTCCTCTGTTGCCATGTCCTCTACCCCCCCCTCCTCTCCTCTGTTGCCTGTCCTCTACCCCCCCTCCTCTCCTCTATAACCCCCCCTCCTCCTCCTCTTTGCCATGTCCTCTACTACTCCCCCTCCTCTCTCTAGTTGCCATGTCCTCTACCCCCCTCCTCTCTTCTATTGCCATGTCCTCTACCCACCCCTCCTCTCCCTGGTTGCCATGTCTCTTAACCCCCCCTCCTCTCCTCTGTTGCATGTCCTCTACCCCCCCTCCTCCCTCCTCTGTTGCCAGGTCCTCTACCCCCCTATACCCGTACCCCCCCCTCCCTCCTCTGTTGCCATGTCCTCTACCCCCCTCCTCTCCTCTACCCCCTCCTCTCCTCTGTGCCATGTCCTCTCCCCCCTCCTCTCCTCTGTTGCCATGTCCTCACTCCTCCCCCTCCTCTCCTCTGTTGCCACTGTCCTCTACCCCCCCCCCCCTCTCCTCTAACGCCCCACACCTCTACCCCCCCCCCCTCCTCTCCTCTGTTTGCCATGTCCTCTACTACCCCCCCCCCCTCTCCTCTGTTGCCATGTCCTCTACCCCCCTCCTCTCCTCTACCCCCTACCACACCCCCCCCTCCTCTCCTCTGTTTGCCACTGTCCTCTACCCCCCTCTCCTTGTTGCCCATGACCTCTATAACCCCCCCTCCATCTCCTCTAACCACCCCACCCCCCCTCGCCTCTTTGCCATGTCCCCTCTACCCCCCCCTCCTCTCCTCTCCTACCATAAAACCCATAACCCCCCCTCCTCTCCTCTGTTGCATGTGTCCTCTACTTTCCCCCCCCTCTCCCTCTGTTTTGCCATGTCCTCTATCCTCTACCCCCCTCCTCTCCTCTATTGCCATGTCCTCTACCCCCCCTCCTCTCCTTGGTTTCCATGTCCTCTTACCCCCCCTCCTCTTCCTCTGTTTCCATGTCCTCTACCCCCTACCACCCCTCCTCGCCTATGTTTGCCATGTCCTCTACCCCCCTCCTCTCCTCTACCCCCCCTCCTCCTCTCCTCTGTTGTCCATGTCCTCTTACCCCCCCCCTTTCCTCTCCTCTGTTGCCATGTCCTCTACCCCCCTCCTCTCCTCTGTTGCCATGTCCTCTACCCCCCCTCCTCTCCTCTGTTGCCATGTCCTCTACCCCCCTCCTCTCCTCTGTTGCCATGTCCTCTACCCACCCTCCTCTCCTCTGTTGCCATGTCCTCTACCCCCCCTCCTCTCCTCTGTTTGCCATGCCCTCTACCCCCCCCCTCCTCTCCTCTGTTGTGCCATGTCCTCTACCCCCCTCCCTCCTTCGTTGCAATGTCCTCTACCCCCCCTCCTTCCTCGGTTGCCATGTTCCTCTACCCCCCCCTCCTCTCCTCTGTTGCCATGTCCTCTCCCCCCCTCCTCTCCTCTGTTGCCAATTGTCCTCTACCCCCCCTCTCTTTCCTCTCCCCCCCTCCTCTCCTCTGTTGCCATTTCCTCTACCCCCCCTCCTCTCCTCTACCCCCTCCTCTCCTCTGTGCCATGTCCTCTACCCCCTCCTCTCCTCTGGCCATGTCCTCTACCCCCCCCTCCTCTCCTCTGTTGCCTATGTCCTCTAACCCCCCTCCTCTCCTCATGTTGCCATGTCCTCTACCCCCCCCCCCCTCTCCTCTGTTGCCATTGTCCTCTACCCCCCCTCCTCTCCTCTACCCCCCTCCTCTCCTCTGTTGCATGTCCTCTACCCCCACCTCCTCTCCTCTACCCCCCCCTATCCTCTGTTGCCATGTCCTCTTACCCCCCCTTCCTCTCCTATATGCCATGTCCTCTACCCCCCCTCTCTCCTCTGTTGCCATGTCCTCTACCCCCCCCCTCCTCTCCTCTGTTGCCCCGTCCTCTACCTCTCTTCCGCTGACAGTATTGATGACAGCATGCAGGTGAAGATCTGTGACAACGCCCTGTCCAGAGACCTGTTCCCCACGGACTACCACTGTCTGGGAGACAATGAGAACAGACCGGTCCGCTGGATGGCCCTGGAGAGCCTGCTCAACAATGACTTCTCTACTGCTAGTGATGTGGTGAGGACACACACAGGAAGCCAGCTAAGGCCATGGAGCTCTCCTCTCCACCACCAGCCAGACAGCCATGCCCTGATGTCCCTCCCTCGTACCTGACCTCTTCATTCCTGATGGAGCTCTGCTGCTCCGAGTGCTCACCCCTCCCTCTTTATATCCTCCGCACCCTGTCTTGACTTCCTCTAAACCTCTCTGGGTCATAGGTTACTACACACATGTTAATGAACCAGTGTTACAGCCGCACACATCCGCACACAGCGCCACACACACACACAGCGCCACACACACACAGCGCCACACACACACAGCGCCACACACACACAGCGCCACACGCACACACAGCGCCACACGCACACACAGCGCCACACGCACACACAGCGCCACACGCACACACAGCGCTACGCACACACAGCGCCACACACACACAGCGCCACACACACACAGCGCCACACACACACAGCGCCACACACACACAGCGCCACACACACACACAGCGCCACACACACACAGCGCCACACACACACAGCGCCACACACACACAGCGCCACACACACACAGCGCCACACACACACAGCGCCACACACACACAGCGCCACACACACACAGCGCCACACACACACAGCGCCACACACACACACAGCGCCACACACACACACACACACAGCCACACACACACACACACACACAGCCACACACACACAGCCACACACACACAGCCACACACACACAGCCACACACACACAGCCACACACACACACACACACACACAGCCACACACACACAGCCACACACACACACACACACACACACACACAGCCACACACACACACACACACACACACACACAGCCACACACACACACACACACAGCGCCACACACACAAACACAGCGCCACACACACACACAGCCACACACACACACACACAGCCACACACACACAGCGCCACACACACACACAGCCACACACACACACACACACACACACACACACACAGCCACACACACACACACCACACACACACACACACACACACACACACAGCGCCACACACACAAACACAGCGCCACACACACAAACACAGAGGTATTGTTAATTAACCATAGTCACCCAGTCAGGGCATGATGACTCCAGGGATCCTAGTAGTCATTCAGACTTTCTCCTAAAGCTTTCATTGATGTCAATGGAAGACTTGAGCGATTTTCTGAGTGTGCATCTCAAGTCTGAATACCTGCTGGTTCGTGTTCAACTACCGTTGTGGATCTCAAGTCTGAATACCTTCTGGTTCATGTTCAGCTACCATTGTGGATCTCAAGTCTGCATACCTTCTGGTTCATGTTCAACTACCGTTGTGGATCTCAAGTCTGAATACCTTCTGGTTCGTGTTCAGCTACCATTGTGGATCTCAAGTCTGAATACCTTCTGGTTCATGTCAGCTACCATTGGTGGATCTCAAGTCTGAATACCTTCTGGTTCATGTTCAGCTACGTTGTGGATCTCAAGTCTGAATACCTTCTGGTTTCATGTTCAGCTTACCGTTGTGGATCTCAAGTCTGAATTACCTTCTGGTTCATGTTCAGCTACCGTTGTGGATCTCAAGTCTGAATACCTTCTGGTTCGTGTTCAGCTACCGTTGTGGATCTCAAGTCTGAATACCTTCTGGTTCATGTTCAGCTACAGTTGTGGATCTCAAGTCTGAATACCTTCTGGTTCATGTTCAGCTACCGTTGTGGATCTCAAGTCTGAATACCTTCTGGTTCGTGTTCAACTACCATTGTGGATCTCAAGTCTGAATACCTTCTGGTTCATGTTCAGCTACCGTTGTGGATCTCAAGTCTGAATACCTTCTGGTTCATGTTCAGCTACCGTGTGTTATATTGTCTTTGTAGAACACTGGCCAATTTTCTGAAGATGACTGATGAATGAAGTGGTGACTTGGTTTCAAAACCTTAATACTTTTTATATTATTGATGTTTATAGTTATACTCTACTGGAATAATCTTATCGTGTTCTGTTCTTTGGAAATAGGAAATTGGTTAAAAGCTAAAGTCGGATGGATTCAGTATGTTGGGAGTTGCAGCCACTACCTACAATGGTTCTGATAACTGGCTGTTCTCAAGCACTGCATGGTTCAGAGAGACGGGGTTCGCTTTCAAGCCCTTATCAAAACATTTAGGAACAATGTTTTCTATGTTGGGTGTACATTTTCAGCTAAATTTCCTTGCATTGTGTCAGTGGAATGCTTTGTTCAGCCATTGGCGCTGTTCAGCCTGTACAGAACATAACTTTCCCTGACACTAATCTCACACTGAGAGACCTTATCCCTAATTTTAACACATTTCTGCAACAGAATATAGAACATTGTTGAAAAGTTTCCCTGATTTTAAATCCATGCATGTGAAGTATCTCTGTCCTATGTTGTATTGTTTATCCTGCATGTAGCTAATGTTCCGCAGAGACAACCAGAAGGTCCAAGAGAGATTTGTACACACACTTTCCTTTGTTCGTCCTAGATATTATTTAGTGTATGTCTGTCACCCTGTCTTGTTGGTCATATCAATGGATGTCTGTCCCATATAAATAGAATTAATTGAATCTTTATTCCTTTGGTCCGTTCTGCCTTGTGATCTGACCTCTAACACCTGACCGCTAACCTGTGTCCCTGTTCCTTAGTGGGTTTTTGGTGTGACCCTGTGGGAGCTGATGACCTTGTAGTCTAACCCCTGACAGCTAACCTGTGTCCCTGTTCCTCAGTGGGTTTTTGGTGTGACCCTGTGGGAGCTGATGACCTTCTAGTCTAACCCCTGACCTGTGTCCCTGTTCCTTAGTGGGCGTTTGGTGTGACCCTGTGGGAGTTGATGACCTTGGGACAGACCCCTTACGTGGACATCGACCCCTTCGAGATGGCAGCCTATCTGAAGGACGGATACAGAATAGCACAGCCAATCAACTGTCCCGATGAACTGTAAGTACAATAGCACAGCCAATCAACTGTCCCGATGAACTGAAACACAGACATAAAGGGCTTTTAGACCGTTTTTATGTGTTTTAATTGATTAAGTTTGATCAACACTTATTGTAATTGACAATTCTATAGTTTTATTGGTCTTAAGTATTTCCTGTATACTGTATCTCATGAGAATTGTCTCGCAGTTTGAATCTCCAGCTGTTCGTTAACTGTAGTGTATCCCTTCAGAATAATGATATGGCTTCTTATGGGATGTTCTCCTCTCTCTTATCAACATAAGCACATGTACTGTCCTGCATGGAAAGTTGACTATAGGACTGTCCTGCATGGACAGTTGACTGTAGGACCCTCCAGAGGGGAGACAGTTGAATGTAGGACTCTCCAGAGGGGAGACAGTTGAATATAGGACTCTCCAGAGGGGAGACAGTTGAATATAGGACCCTCTAGAGGGGAGACAGTTGACTATAGGACCCTCCAGAGGGGAGACAGTTGACTGTAGGACCCTCCAGAGGGGAGACAGTTGAATATAGGACCCTCCAGAGGGGAGACAGTTGACTATAGGACCCTCCAGAGGGGAGACAGTTGAATGTAGGACTCTCCAGAGGGGAGACAGTTGAATATAGGACCCTCCAGAGGGGAGACAGTTGAATATAGGACCCTCCAGAGGGGAGACAGTTGAATATAGGACCCTCCAGAGGGGAGACAGTTGACTATAGGACCCTCCAGAGGGGAGTCAGTTGAATGTAGGACCCTCCAGAGGGGAGACAGTTGACTATAGGACCCTCCAGAGGGGAGACAGTTGACTATAGGACCCTCCAGAGGGGAGACAGTTGACTGTAGGACCCTCCAGAGGGGAGAGAGTTGAATATAGGACCCTCCAGAGGGGAGACAGTTGACTGTAGGACCCTCCAGAGGGGAGACAGTTGAATATAGGACCCTCCAGAGGGGAGACAGTTGACTATAGGACCCTCCAGAGGGGAGTCAGTTGAATGTAGGACTCTCCAGAGGGGAGACAGTTGAATATAGGACCCTCCAGAGGGGAGAAAGCCAAATGGGTGAGAGTTCAGCTTCAGCCGGATGCCTTACATACTAGGGTTGGGCGGTAGCCAGATGTTCATATCGTCATACTGTCCTACTCTCATCCTGGGATTTACGGTATTACCGGCTCAGTACACAAGGGGGCGCCAAAGAAACACAAAAAGTCCATTTGGCGTCTATTAGCAGAATGCTAACAGAATTAGCACAAGTAATAGAGCATTTCCATGGAGGCTGCTAGCTAAATATGCTAACGAGTGCAAAAACATGCAATCCAGCTCATAAAGTTATACATATATAGGTAGGAGCTACCGAATGTCATTTTTGGTGAGTTTGGACATTTATAAGCAAATGAACAAAGTTATGAGGCATGCTTATGAGGCATGCATGCTTATGAGGCATGCTTATGAGGCATGCTTGTCTGAAGGAAGACCAGTACTGCCTCTGGGGCAGCATGTGTACACTCTGTGTCTGGGTGGAGTCTGGAGTCGCTAGGGCAACGGGCCTGCCTGTTCTGCTCGAAGAGGGGGGAGGAGCAGACGGCCCGAGAACTGAGCGGAGAACGAAACGCTAGGAAATCAAGAGCCTACAGATAACTTATACAAAGGGCTTTGACTTCTCGAACAAAGCAGAAAGCTAACACAATATGATGCCCGTCACCTTATTTAATTCAGCCACTGAGATAACTAGCAACTTTAGCTTAGGGGTCGCGTTAACGCAGAATTTGAAGAATTTGAAATATCTTGTTTTGTAACTGCAGCTCTAAAATGCTTCTTATTGTAATTTTTGCTCGGTGTCAAACAAATTCTGTGCTTCAGTTTCTCTTCTCCACTAAAGGCCTTCTATCAGCAGACTGCTTTCTGACTGTGGAGATACTTTGCTACAGTATTTTTCTCCGGTAAAATGCAAGCTCATCTTTAAACAAAACATTAGGAAATGTAGCTGGCTACGTTCTTTCTATGATAAACATTATGAAATATGATGGGCATGCATTTGTTTTTGCTGCGTTGCACTTCTGTTGTCATCTGATGAAAATGAAGCTATTTTCTGCCGAATGTGTTGCACGAATGTATTTTTTGTGTGAAGGAAAACTCTAGTTGCACATCCCTGATCACTCAAATGAAGAAAATAACACTTGTCTTTCAATATAAAAACGCGACCCCTGTCAATACACAGCTGGACTCACCGGTTCCCGCTTTCTCCGGTTGTGCTATTTACAAACAAACACGTGACTGGCTCAACTGTTCTGGGGAACTACGGTAAACTTCACAATGTAAGAATAACGTGACGGGTGAACTGAAGAACGCAACCTGCTTTATCTCCTAAAGTACTGCACAAGTTGACTGCGGGTATTTACTTTAAAAAATAGCTAAAAAATATTACAAATGTATAAAAACAACTTCTAAGAAATAGTTTCGATGGTATTGGAAAAACCATCTTGTGGCTATTTCCAAATACCCCGTTATACAGTATATACGGTAAACAAGCCTAGTGCACACACAGACAGGCACGTGTGTACACACACACACACACACACACACAGCCCATGTTCGGGAGTCTCTGTTTGCATGTGTTATTGTAGAGCTGTATAAGTCCAGCAGCTACGTGGCGGGGGCAGCTGTCTCTCAGCGTCATTCATTACAGACGGAGTCTTATCCACGTCCTGCGTCTGTCGGGGGGGCTGCAGGGTGGCGGAGTCTTATCCACGTCCTGCGTCTGTCGGGGGGGCTGCAGGGAGGCGTTGGACTGCTGTGGACGAGCTGGCCAGGAATCACAAAGGGACAAAAACTGGCTTCTGTGGCTGAATCCCAAATGGCACCCCTACTCCCTATATTAGTGCACTTTTGACCAAGGTCCCTCGCCTCTGACCTTTTTTCCTCCCCAGTGCGTTTTTAGAAGCAGATGAGAACGCAAGGAATTGAGGAAAGACAAATTGTGAAAGAACCTATGTCCGCTTCAAAGCTAGATGTTCAAAAGTAGCGCACTATACAGGGAATAGGGTGCCGTTTGGGACTTCGGTGTTACTGTCATCACTTCAACACTCCGTGATGTACGGTTGGATGAGCGGACGCCAACAGCGTTGGACAGGCAGGGAAGTTGAGGAAAAGCTAATCGGACTGTTGTTTGGGGAGCTGCGGCACACGTTTCCTTCAGAAAGAGTAGGCGTTGAGTTGGATTGTTCCACCAGATAGAAGAATTCAGGAGACCTTGAGGGATGCAGGACTGATGGTGTGATGTTGATTTCTCTGATGACCCAAGTACTGAATAGCCTTGACACTGGGAATGTGAAATTTTTTTTTAGTACATGCAGTGCTTTTTAGACCCCATTTGGCAGTCCTTATGGGGTTTTGAGTCAACGTACACTGTGCTAGCCTAAATGGCTTGTGCGAGGTGCATGTTCACTTGCTGACCCAGCTAATTCTCTCTCTCTGTCTGTTTGTCTGTCTGTCTAGGTTTGCAGTGATGGCGTGTTGCTGGGCCCTGGATCCAGAGGAGAGGCCGAAGTTCCAGCAGCTCGTGCAGTGTCTGACTGAGTTTCATGCGGCGTTGGGGGCATACGTCTAAAATCTAGCCCCAGGCTTCTGCACGGACCAGGCCCAGGAGTTACTGAACAGCACTAATCACCACGAGGAATACATGTACAAACCTTGTGCCTTTAGAAATTGAAAGAAGACTTTATTATGAACATTATTATGAGGAATTGTTTTGAGTGAGGTTTCTGTAATTCGTGCAAGCTTCAAGCTGTTCTCACAGCGGAGTTCGATGGATTCTCTTTCAGAGGTCGTCATATTTCCCAGCAATACCTCACAAGCTTCCAGAACAGACCTATACCCTCACTATGTGACCCACAAGGACGTCACCTCTTTTAGAAGAACGTAAGAAGCTTTAAAAGCTGTCACCGCCATTTTCCTACCAACTTTTGAGGACCCGTTTGTAAAGACAGACTATGCTAATATGTTGTTTTTTTCCATGTTAGAGAAGAAGAGATGTACGTTTCTGGTTGTAGATCTGAGAGGATGAGTCCACCGTAGACTGAGGCTTCATGTATAGTGGCAGGGCACCAAAGTGGACACCCTCTTCACCTAGTACACTACATGGGGCATTTGGGCCGCAGATGGAGCGTCTTTTGTGTACTGAAGTCATGGTACGGTAAACTCAAGGTTGGTACGAGAGGCCTCTTTGGGGGATGGAACGGTCGGTCTCCAAGGCCAAAGCAGCTCTGCTCTGCTGGACATTTTATATTGGACAATGACATGTGGTGTGTCTCTAGTCTCCACAGATCTCCACTGAAGGACCTATTGAACATTTTGTGCCACACGTTAGTTTCCCTTTTCCTTGGGAGACGTGCCAATGGAGCGCTAGCATAGCTGTCGTTGTCGCCACATCCCATGATCCCTTTAGTATCTGTTTAGCCAGTAGTGTTGACCAGACTGTATGAATGCTACAGACCGTGTACAGGACACTACATACCCTCATGGAGAATGATTGGTTTATGAGTTATGTTGTTCACTCATTGGAAAGCTACCCATTGTATCCCCTTTTTGATATTCACAATCACAACTAGCAAGTTCAATATCACATATCTGAGGGGAATGAATATCTAACAGGGTTGTCGTCATCGATAATATTCTGTGTTTTTGAGTTTGACTGTTCTGTGTCAGAACAACAACCCAGCTACCCAACCACACGTTGTTTTGAGAAAGTATGAATTTGTACTAGGGACACTAATCACTGCGAAAAACGGAATAAGTGCCAACCTGGCAACGTCATGGCTAGCTCTGGTCCGAGGCGTTACGTGCTGCTTGCTCATGCTGAGCCTTCAGCATCAGCAAGCAGCGGGTAATGGCCTGGACCAGAGCTACATCATGGCCTCATCTTCTAAGATCTGTAGGATGTCAACAGGATCACTGCATGTTGAATTAAAGGGTGTTCATTCTGTAAACTGAATTCAGACCCCAAAAATTAAATGCGTTTCTTCTGATTCATGTGGTCGGTTTTTATATGTAGGTTTTCACCCGTTCTGTTTGTAAAGGCTGTGTCCCAAATGGCACCCTATTCCCTATATAGTGCACTACTTTGGACATAGGGCTCTGGTCAAAAGTAGTGCACTATGTAGTTCACAGGGTGCCGTTTGGGACACTATCCTAAACGTTTGCCTGTTTTTGAAGTGCAGGAGGAAATGGGCCTTGCCTGATTGGCAGGATCCTCGCTGTGCTTAGGAGTTTCCTGAACATCAAAGCTTTTATTGTACAGTAGCATAGCAGTGGTTTCACAGCCAATAACCAATCTGAATTATAATCACAGTAATTGATAACCACAACTCGGGCTGAGGAGAGATGCTAGTATAGAGGTATTACTGGGGCACAGAGACGAAACATATAGGATTTATAAAGGCTCATACATGCCTATAACAAGTTATTAAGCATTATACCTGCAGGCTATAAGTGTTCCCTATAGAACAGTTTCAATAACCAAGAATCTCACCAGAAGATGAACATGTTCTGCCCAGCGTTAGTTTCGGTGTGTCAAAATTTCAACCATAGATCCCTTATCGCGGTATGATTTACTAGTCGGTGTGGCTCTGAAATGGCACCCTGTTCCATTTGGGATGCATGCCCTGTACGGACTGTACATACAGCAGGGGAACAAAGGATGAAGTCCCACTACAGGGAAACGTGCTACACCTTTTCAACATGGCATAATGGAAACTGATCCGAAATCTTAATTTGTGGAGGAAACCAGGTTGATAAAGCCTCCGAGGTGCTGAGCAAGACCCTGACCTGATGTCTGAGGTAGGTCCCAAATAGCATCCTATCCCCCCCCCCCTACGGGCCCTGGTCAAAAGTAGTGCTCTCGTTAAGAAATAGGCTGGCCATTTGGGACACACAGTGTAATACATTTTAGTCATTTTAGCAGACGCTCTTATCCAGAGCGACTTAACAGTTAGTGAGTGCATACATTTTCATACTGCCCCCCCCCCCGTGGGAATCGAAACCCACAACCCTGGCGTTGCAAGCGCCACGCTCTACCAACTGAGCTACACACGGGACCCATAAAAAGGGTTTGGTTGTTCAGAGGGGCTCTATGTGCAAATGTTGTAACACTTACAGAACAACGTCGTCTTAGATTTCCAGATGCTATCTAAGCCTTTGCATTGATAGTCAAACTTTTTTATTTTGCAGTTTTGAAGCAAGCATCCCTGCATAATATGAAACCACTTCCTAAAACATCTTCCTAAAAAACCTTTTTGTAGTAAAAATATATTTCCTTCTGCTTCTGCAGTTGTCTGTAAAATGGTTCTTGCTACAACACTCAACAGCTGTTGATTGGTTAGAATGAGGGTCGCAAAATTGCAGTAACTTTTCCAAAATGTCAGTGTTTTCCAGAAATCCTAGTTAGTGTTCCTGAATGTCCAGCTTATTCCATCCTGATTGTCTTGAGTCTTTCAACTGCGATTCCTGGAAAACCAGGGAATCTTGGGAAAGCTAATATTATTTTGCAACCCTAGTGGGGGGGGGGGACTCCTTCAGACTCAAACCACTGTAGATGTTAATCGTTCCATTTTAAGGACAACATCTTTTAGGGATGGTTTCAGACACTTGGAAAAAGAAAAGGAGAGCTGCTCAGATGCAACAATTCAACAAACCCAACCACCAACGTTTCCACGGACAAGCTGTCGTCATCATTATACCCTGATGAGGACAGCTTGTCTGTCGAAACGTTGGTTGTTGAATTGTTGCATCTGAGCACCTGGAGTGAACGGCTCTCCTTTTTTTTCTTTTTCAAGTGTTCTGCTCCGTTAGCCAGCACCTCTCCTAAACAGGTGTATTGCTTTCACCTCCATAGTTTCAGACAATAACTTGATATATGTGAACATGGTGTACCTAAACGGTGTCCTAATCACAGTGTTGCTCAATGAGTCTTCTAATGGAATGTCCAGAATGTCCTATGTACTGTAACAGACTAGTATTTTCCATGCCTTTGCGTAAAGTGGCTAACTGTAAAGGGCAACTGGTGACAAGCAGAATGTTATGCTTTCCTGTTTTGATTTCTTCATCAATTGGCAAAGTGTAGAAGAGCCTTGCAGACGTCTCTTACCTTCTCTCCCAATCAATCAATCAAATGTATTTTTATGAAGCCCTTTTTACATCAGCAGTTGTCCCCAAAGTGCTTAACAGATACCCAGCCTACCCCTAAGAGCATGCTGCCTCTGGTCAGTAAACCTGGCAACACTCCAGATCTAGTACCAGATGGGATGACCCAACCCACCACCAAAAATCAGACTGGCTGGTCCGTTTTTAGCCCAGTGGGCAATTCTAACCTGCTTTTTTTCCTTTCTTTCTTTTTTCTCAAAATGATAATTATCTGGTTAATAATGGAGGTGGAGCGGATGACAATGGGCCGGTGTGTTGGAAATGCCAGGGCCGGTTTCTGGACCCAGTTCGCCCCTGATCACCACCACTTGGTCTCTGCAACCACCTGACACCCTATACGTAGATTTAGTGCCCATTTCAGGTGTGGTGCACAGTATTAACATATTAACAGCAGCAGTAACAATAGGTCAAAGTAACGCCTCATTTGATATGAATACTTTTCAACCTCCCAGCGTACATTGACAAACTAAAAAAAATATGTTGTGGTGTTGATTTATTGGAGTGTTATTGATTTATTGTAGTCTATCGATGCCCTTTTCTTTCCTGGGTTGACTTTCGTAGTTCTTCCCACTGTGTGCGCAGCTGCTAAGCCTTGAACTGGCTTTGATGGAATAATGACACCTTTTGTAAGGCTTGTGTGATTTATCAGAAGAACACCTATTACCTCCTGTTGGATGTGTGTCAAGAAGGGAGCGAGGGAGGGTGTGCCTGTCTGCCTGTCTGCCTGCCTGCCTGCCTGCCTGCCTGTCTGTCTGTCTGCCTGTCTGTCTGCCTGCGTGCGTGCGTGCGTCTGTCTCACGTTCACGGCTAAACAACAGGAGGTGGTGATGCTTGTCTGTCAGAGGTAAACCCAGACTTTTCAACTAGCCTGTGTGTCAGATCCGCACAGGGCAAGATGGGTATCAATGGCTATAAAATAAACTGCTGTCATACTTTTGAAGTGCCGAACTGTAAATGTTGAAAAACAAAAGCAGAAACTTTTGTTGGATGGTCAATTTAAAAAGTTTAAACTGAAGACTTGCAGTGCTGCAATTAAACAGATTGACTACATTTTGTGTATAATTATTTATTAGATGTTTGTCTAAACAATGACATAAGTCTTGTTCCTATTGTTGAGTAAAAACTATCTCCGCGCGGCGCATGTAAAAACTGGTCGTGTGCCAAATATGCTCTTTCATCATTACGTTGAAAACATTTGTGCGAGTGGAGTTGTGGGCTGAGTCGGCCCCATTACATCACTGTGAGCCATAAAAGCTCATTGAGACTCACCGGAGCAGAACACGGAGACTGCTACTACCCATCTGACTTCAACATAGAGAGATTCACTGCTGCTGAGTTTTGCTTGCCAGGACTGGACTCTCTCTCTTCTCTGGATACCTTTTACTCTTCACAGCAAATGGAGATTTA